AAATTAAAACACATATTTTAGTAATAATTATGCTTGACTGCAAGACTAATATGTCTTAATTAAGCTGATGAACTAATTTGAAAATTCTATTGATTAGTTAAATATTTTGAAAGCGGTGATAGTAAATTTCAGTAATTTTTTGAGGAGAGCAAACATATAGTTAAAAATTCCTATCCTTTTAATTATAAAACAAAAATAGACACTTAAATATAAGAAAATTATAATATTTTTCAAGAATAGATTTCATTACTTGATACTACTTTTAATGAACAATGAAATCAAATCATATTAAAAATATATGGAATATTTCTGTTTTCCTCTGTACCCTTTAAATATATACCCCACAAAACAAGTTTTTATTTGGACTTGGTTTAAAAATACATAAAACAGTGGTGCAGCTATTGGTATAGACCGCTCATGAACATAAAATCATATTAGCGGAGGAAGTGGAGAGATGAATCTCCTCATTACTTTACGTTCTAAAAGCTATTTGGACTTTACTTCCACACAAAATTTCTAATTGCGCTATACCATAAGATATTATACTATTTTAATATTATAATAAAATCATTCAAACTACTTATGAAATGTCTATACAGACTTTGTGTAAAAAAAATTTAGTATATCTAATGTTAATATAAATTTTACATTTATATATATATATATATATATATATACATATATAAAGTTGTTATTTAATTAAGTTTCTAATTCTATGAAACAAATTTAAATAAATGTGTGTGTTAATACGAGACATATTTTCTCAAGTACACAGTTTTATGTAAATAATATTTATTAGTATAAACCCCTTTTTTAATTTTAAAGATGAACCATTACATAGAATATAATTCTACCAATGTATCTATTTACCTAATAAATTTATTCTAAATAATATAAAGCGTATACATTTGTAATATATAAATTCAATAAATTAACAAATTTTATATAATTTAAATGTAAATATTTAAACTAATATGTCCATTATAAATATGCTACACTAAATGTAGCTAAACAACAAATATTCAAATGTCAAATAAGTATTCAATTAATTTTTGTTCTTACAAAACTAACCTGTTAAATAACTTGTGTCTTTTTTCTAATATAATTTTTTATTTTCAAGATAATTTATATAAATTCAATAATATTGTTTTACTTTTTTAGTTAAGATAAGGCACATATGTGTTCTGTATCTTTAATTAACCTCGTGACCTTCATTTGTAAAAATCTTAAACTTCGACTAATTAGAGGTGTAACTCAATGTTATTAAGAAATTCTGCTTTGTATTAGCTCTTTCATTTTTAAATACTGATTGGAAATATTTGAATTTTAGTTTTAATATTAGTTATTGTATTTAAGGTTTTTTTTTTTAATAATTTTGATTCTATTTTATAGAATTGTTAAAAATAATTTGTCATAAGAATTTATATACAATTCATTTTAAGGATATGGATAAAACTAATTTAATTATTTTTAATTTAAAAACTTCCCTATATTTACCCACGTTACACAATATCTGTAACATAGGTAGATATAGGGAGGTTACTCCACAGTATGTTTAATAACCCCAAAAGTACAAACTTTAGTTAATTATTATTATAATCAAGTTTCCTGGTCAATTACTATATATTATTCTAATCTCCTTAAAACGTATACTAAGTATCCCCGACTGTGTTTTAAAGGAAATCTCCTTCATTCTGTATATATATACTATTCTATTATAAAAACTTTTATTGTAATTAAAGAACACTACTACCAAGCATTAGTATAACGATAATAATTAGAACTCGATTGTAATTGAAAGGTCCCTTACAGATTAATTCTTTAAGTTATATATCTTTTAAGGAAAATTGGATGTAAATTAATTTTTTATATTAAAATGTTGAAAGAAAGGTCTTTCTGTATATTGTTGACTATTATACTTTGGTTCCATAATTGTTAAAAATTTAAGTGTACTCAAGATACTTGTTGTACGTATAATTTACTTGTAACAAATGCATTGATATATTAATTCACATATGTGTAGTATTTTGTTCTGAAACAATAGTTTTAAATGCAATAATTAAAACTTGCATTTAAGAAAGGTAGCTTGTGAGTCATTTAAAATCAACCGAACCTTAATGGGTAATATTAATAAACGTGTAAAGGAAATTACATAGAATTGAAAACGAGTCCTTGGCCTTCATTTTTTTTGTTAATAGTCATTAATCTCTATCGTCCTCGATGCTGCACATTTCGCTTTTATAACATTTATTATAAAATTACTTTCACTCTAGGTAATTTTACTGTTTAAATTCGCAACAAAATTAAATTTTCATGTTTAATTGTTAAAATCTCATAAATATGTGTTGGTCAAATGATAATGTACTCAATTTTTTTTGTTAGGGATTAATACGTAGACATTCATTATAATTCCTACCAGTCGATGTAAAAATGAATGTATAACATGCATTTGCATCACGAGGATATTGATATCTATCCTCTTACTATGCATGTTAAATAGTTAAATAAAAATTATAGTTTAATATTTTTAATACTGAAATTTGAGTTTATAATTTATTTACTATGGCAATTCATTAAATAAAATAGTTATATGCGCTACTTATGCCTGTCAATTACTTTTTCAAAAACTAAATGTAAATTTATGAAACCTTTTAAACTTATTTTATTTACCTATGGCTGATGTTGTTTTCAAAACTTCATTTTATTTTGAAAAATTATTCGAATATTTTAGACTCTAAACAATTTATTTTTGAAGTTCAACTTTTTAACTATTAAGTATAGGCAATTCTAAAATATCACAAAAAGTATCGAGATAATAAATTCGCGTATATAATAAGAATACAATAATTTACGTAAGAGAAATCATAATTTAAATTCATTTGTTTGTTTATTATTTATAAGGCATCATTACATTTATGGTATAAATTTCTTCATTTGAGTTTGAAACAATTTTTAGGTCAAAGAATAAATGTAAAAGTATACATATATTTAAATTATAAATGAAAATATAATTTACTTATTAATTACATAGATCATATAATCATAGTTATTAATTTGTATATTGTTTATATATTTCCTGAATTTGATTTCCACATATAATATAGCAATTCAATAAAATCAATTATTTATGATACAAATTAACGAATCTGTAATTACACATATAAATAATAATTACTAAATAACTATTATTTAGGTTTTAGCTAAACAAAAATTTGTTTCAAATTAAACAATTTATATCTCGATTGAATTACAATGGTTTTGTTATAAAAATAATTTGGTAATAATATATATTAACAATTTTAAAAGCTTCTATTTGTTCTATATAATTTATTTAAATTGAAATATTATGAATATATTTGACTTAGTACATTTGCTACAGATAATTATTTTCCTGGAAGATAATATCTATAAAGTTAGTCAGGCTTTTCTAATTCCTAGACAAATATATAAAAAAAAACATTTTTGTAAATGATAATTTCAATGTGAATATTTGTGTTTTCGTAGTTATTGTTTATTTCATTATTAAGATTTAATAGCTATGTCGGTTTGCACGATTAACATTACTTTTTTTACGAATGTAAATAATGAATGATGCAAAATGATTTATCTTAAAATTTTATCGTGTACACAATTTTTAATTGTTTAAACCGCAATATTTTTTTTTTAATTGCAAATGAATTGTCGGAATAAACTAGTGTTGTTTCAGCAAAGCCATAAATGCAGTCTAAGCGGTATTCGCCCTTCACTCTCTCGAGTTAACCAATACTTTACATAGGGATTGCACATTTGATAATATGTAACTAGGATAAGTTAAAGTCGTTTCATGGAATTAATATTATAAAGGCTTATACAGAGTGTGCCATCGTTAAAAAATAAATAAACCTTGTTATATCACTTAAATATAAAATGTTTTTTAAACCGTCACAAATTATGTCAAAATAATATTGATTGCACAATCAAATATTATTATTTATTAAATTTTAACATGGCTATTTTACATTTGTTGGATAAGGAAGTAATGATATCTAATACTTTTATCTTCGTCATTATTAAATAATCATTTTCAAATACGTTTTTAAAGTAGTTACTAAAACATGTTTAAGTTATCAAATGTAATAACTAACTGATATATTTGATTTTTTGCTGGTAATATCTGCTTGATGTTAATTCGTATGTTACATGAATCATGCGGTATATGGTTAGAAAATACATTGCATGGGTTTTGCTATTAAACATTGCCATTTATTTAAAATTCTTATATGGAAACAAACAAGTTTTTTTTCTTAGTTTTAAATAGGAATAATTTGTAGTTATGATTTTTATGCTTTACAAACTGTATGATTTTTTAAACGTAATACCATTTAAAATACTTATAAATGTATTTAACAGTTACAATAAAATAAAAAGGATTATACAATAAAAAATAATTGCTAGTATTTTAATATCATAACAGAGTAGAAAAGTTCTCTTTAGATTCCGAATCGGACTTAAAAGCTTTATTACGACTAACAAAAGTTACTTATCAGTGAATTAAATTTCATTAATTATTGGTTTTAAAAAAGTTAGATAGTTACAAAACAAAATGATATTGTAATTAATATTTTTATGTTCATAGTCAATAGAAGTCATGAAAAAAAGAAAATTGTTGAATTATAGAAAACTACAGGTAATCGGTTGATGGTAAAGAATAGAAAACTGGGATTTAGTCTATAATAAAAAATTATTAATAGGAAATGGTATAAAAAAGGTATTCGGGCATTTATAGGCTTTACACTTAACATTTTGTACTATGTAGTGGTCAGTGTGAAGATTACCTGCTTGGACAAGTACCTAGCAGAGTCGCCAGAGGGTGACTTTTCACTTGTTGCCAAGCTGTTAGGAATGCGGTGGGATTCGTTGTGATAAGAAACACATAGGCTTGTAACCTCCGGACCGACGTAGGCCCCCGTAGGAGTTACCGAAGGACAGAACGTAATCTGCTTCATTGAGATTTCCAGACACCGGTTAGTATCCATAGTGCCTCAATACAAGACGGTACAACATCGCGAATAATTTATTTATTTATTATTTATTTGTTCGTATTCTCTTATCAAGTTATTAATCTGATCCTAGCAAGGCAGGTTAGATAAGCATATTACTTTTAATCTAACACATATTCATAGTTAATAATTAACATGTTATACTAATTTATTTAATAAAACCAACATTTAATTTCACTGTGAATTAACCCTTATATTTAATGACTATTTAAAGTATCGCGCAATTTTTATTTTATTTTATTTAGTGAAAATCAAGTTCATATCATAATACAGGATAATCCTCTAAAGGTAGTTATAAATTCAAATAGCATGTTATTACTTAAAATTAGTTAAATTGTAATGTTTTAAGAGTTATAATATTTCAATAATTACATATTCGTTTGTTTTTATCCTCAAAAACTAAAATAGAGGTTTACAATTTTTTTCAATGAAGTCATCATTTTTAACCCGTCTTAAATTACTGAAGATATATATTAGGATGTTATTTTTAGATAATTATTATAAAATCATTAAAATGTATATTAAGGGTAATATTTATAAGGAAATAACATTTATACTGTTGATTATTATCTAAAAGAATGTTTATTGGTTTTGACATTCTTTTTGACCTGGTATTCAGTTATATTACTGTTAAGAATCAAAAATGTACACCAGGAAAACCTATGACTCTTTGAGTCATCTGTAGTTAATCACAAATAAAATTAAATGTTAGCATATATATTAATAATTTATTACTAAAAAAAGGGTTTAAAAGTATTACAAACACGATTTTTTTTTTAATTGTAGTTATTTTGTAAAAATTTGTCAATTTCGTCGGAAAAGTAAAAATAAATTAAAACTTTAAATAGCATTTAATGGAATTTGATATTTAAACAATAAAAAATATACCTAACCTATAAAAAAATTTACTTTTTATGATTATTTGACAAATAACATGCTTTACTATAAAAATCATTAATAATTCTTTTGAATAAAAACTTTTAGATATAAGGCACAGAAATAAATTAATATAGTACTGCCAATAAGTGTCTTCACAATTGTAAGCGAGCATGAATTTTATATTATTATTTTATAATATAGTATAAAACATTAGAGCATTTAATAAAATATATTTTTCATTAAAAAAAAAAAGAAATATGTATATAATCATGGATTTAGTTAAATTGAATTAGCCTTACAATTAACAGTTTATAGTTAACATTTATTTATTACAAATAAAGGTATTTATTAATCTATACAAAGTGGAATTAAATTAGTGTCACGTAATTTTGTAACAATTTTGATTGTTTAAAAATAACAATATAAGCTTAGTATAACTCAAAACAAAAGCAGCATATAAGCTGTCAGGTCAAGGAATATCCCGTAGGGCGAATAACTACATATTTGCAAGTGATAATGTCATTTTGAAAACCTTTCAATTATTTACAGAAAAAATTCAATACCCAAAAGCTATGTATTGATTAACTTCAATCTTTTATTCGTAAATTCATTAGAAAAATTTTTCTTGGGGAAAATAGAAAAGGGCGCTTATTTATATATTTAGTATATGTAAATAGTTGGCTTTAATTTAATTAATAGAGTTGTTAAATTCTGTTGAAATGAAAAAGTTAATAGTGAAATTTGGTAATTCAATTTTAAAGTTAATAAAGTAATCATCTATTTTCTGATCCTTAGATCGCTAATAAAAATTGTCTTTTTTATATCTTCCTAAACCACACTTTTAGGCTTTTCATTATGAGATATTAAAAAAAAATAATAATAATTAAAAAATAATCATATAGTCATATTAATAATATTAAATGAATAAACAATTAGTAATTTAAAAAATTTTGTTGATAAAAATTTCATGTCGAATATTACTATTAAGTATATCTATGATTATTTTATTAATCTACATATCTTATTGATACTTTTATTCGTTTTGATAATGATGATAAATGTAATCGTCATGGAGATATTATGTATATTTCCTAATACCTCAGTTATATTCTTCTTAAGGTTCATAGTCCGGTGCGTTGCCTGATACAGGGTAAGCGGTAGTATACATGAATTTAAATAAAATATGGGATATCGCTCATGGAATGCAATGGGTACAATAATACAACCAGTTTTAGTGTTTCTTCGGTGCTATGCCGCCACCGTACTTAATAGTTAATACGAGTAATATGTTGATGATCTGACCAATAGGTAAGAATGCTTAAGTTATGACAAATGCAGGAACAAGTCAGTTTCCATTTTTTAGCACTTAAATGCTTTTACGGTTACATCATGTTCTAAACTAGTTGATTAAACAAAATTATTCGTTAAAAATTCATTCATTCATCTGAGAAATCTTTTTTTTATAAATTATATCAATATTATTGTTATCCTCCTCAATGTTAGTTTTATAAACTTTACAATATATGAAATAGTTTCATACAGAAAATATCATATTAACTGTAGTAATTTTTATTTGTTGAATAATAAATAGGACAAAAGACAATATGAGGCCGTTAGATTGTGCAAACATTGTTTAAAAAATTTGAGTAAAAATAATTTGTATCGTCACTGTCATGCAAAATGTAGCCAAGTGATTTAAGAGAATTATATTATTTATTTTTTGTAATAATTGGAACTTGAAAAATATATTAAATACTACAATTTTTCGATTTTATTGTGGTTTATCTATTGACAAATATATAATTACTTATAGTTTTAATTTATTTAGGAATCTGTTAACTTTTTGAAGTTTAAAAAAAATACATAAAAAAAGGTATTGGCCGAATCTTGTACAACAAGATATTAAATCAAGCACTTAATAACTTTAAGTATTTCAAGGTAACTACAAAAGATATGTACTTCTATTTACTTGCTGTTAGATACTACCCCATGAATATATTATACAGAAAATGGTTTTCACGACATACTTGTGTAACTTTTGTAAGTGTGCATGAACCATAAAGACCTTGAATGAACTTAAATATTATGACTAAACCCAACAATTCATTTATAAACAAACGCTCATATTAAAACGTATATTTTATTTTAAAAATACCTACACGTTTAAAAACTTTCTAGGATAAAAATTAATGTACAAATAGTAGGCTGAAGTAAATATTACAGACAATGTTTATTGCTTGTACATTAATCAAGTGAATTTATTCAATAAAACATTAATTATGTTTCATATTTCACAAGTGTTTAATTGATAAGCACTTATGACAATTCTTGACGATTTCTTCTAGGTTTTTAAGCTATTCATTTATTTATTTGATACTTTTTCATGAAATTTTTAACAAATATGCTAAATTCACAATTAAGTTAAACAAATATGAATAAAAGACTACGTTAGAAAAATGTATGGAATGTAATTTTCAGTCAAAATCATAAATCAAAAACGTTAAAGAGCTTCTTTTTGGCACCTGTTAATGAAATTTCAAAAAAAAAAAAAAAATGTTCAGTATTATGTACTATTTTATACATTAACAATCTAAAATATAACATCTTAAACTTATTATTTTAATTTTTTGGGTATATTGTTTTTGGCTATTTGGTGGAATAATTAAGGAAATTTCACTAGAGAATCAGATAATTAAAAAATCAAAAAGTAGTGGAAGGCGGCTAATATTTTGAAAAACTTATCATTGACGACTCATTTATTTTACAACGTTTTTAGCTATTGGAGCTTAATCTAAAGTATAAATTTCAAGAGCCTATCTTAAATAAAAACCGAGATAAGTGGGTTCAAAAACCGGTTGAATTGTTTAGTGTAAAAATATACTTGTATTGCTCATATAAGGTAATTTTTTAAAATAATTTTAATATAAAATGTATATTCTTTTTTTATTTTAACATTATTTAAGTTTTTTTTTTTGTCTCAAGGTTAAGTATAATTTTAATATTTATATATGTCTCATATGAAAAAAATTACATCCCTGTCTAAAAAATATTATTTATTAATTTAATAAACAATAATATCATGGTTTCAGGACTAATAGTGCCCAGTCAAATGGTTTACTTTTCAACGTGTTTATATAAAAAAATGTCTACTAGTTTGTAAATCTAATTATAAAATGTCTAACTAAGAGTATGTATATTGTAGCTTACTATTTTAAAATCTATTTAAGAATGGTCAAAATTAACATAGTACAATTTATTTAAAAATATAATGAAATCATGTTTATCATATTTGAAGAAAAATTTAATTAATCTTCTACTTCTGTATATAGTTTTACTTTGTAGCTAATTTCTTGCAAATAAATAACAATTTTATGATTCTCTGTGTACGTTTAATAATAAGAACCATACTTCTGATTTGTTCGTGGTTAGTTGTGTGATTTTTTTATGGGATACGGAACTCTCCGATGACCGGTTAGTTAGTGTTTGAGTAATCAAACAAGAACATGGGCAGGAGTTCTTTGGCTACATAATATTTTTATCTGGTGAAACATCGATCTATGTATTTCTTCTGTTTTGTTAATCAATACACAAATGTGTAAATGTGATCCATAATAACATTATGAATTGTGCAGATACAGTTGAATGCTTTGTCTGTTACAAAAACTAATATTCTACCAGTGTCTTTCAATGACAAATTTTAAAAACTGTTAATTTGCTAGAGTTCTGCTATAAGGAATAACTGTAACATAATCATTTCAATTTTTTGGTATGGATGGTTTATCAATATTTTGACGTCTATTTACTGTTCTCAACAAGTGTTGTATTTTTTCATTTAAAATATTTTTGGCTTTTACGTGAATAATATTTGTGGGGCTGATCATAAAGTTTTCTTTGGGCTCAATGTTTTATTCAGATTACTGTTTTCTTCGATTATATTTCAATAGGGTTTGCAATATGAGAGTACTGTTTCTTTAAAATTAACAATTAATTTTTTTATTTTATTATTATTTATACTAATTGCATTATAAGTATATTTTAATTTACATTTCTAGTATAATCATTGATCATTGTTGTTCGGTTTTTGTAGATAATATATTAAATTATTGACGAGCAAAAAATGGAGTGGCTTTTGTTCGATTTCGAAATGAAAAGCTTTATTTTAAACGTATTAAAAGTAAAAAAACGGAATATGTAATACTTAATAATGATTATTTAATTTCTATCTATAAAAGACTTTATTATTGTAGATATTTTTGTAAAGAAACATTATACGGAAGACATTAAGTATTAGACAATTTTTCTGTAAACTAATATTATAATATCTATATTTTATTTAAGTACACAAATTTTTTATAATAAGAATAGTCGCCCAAGCGCCGAAACGTAGAACATCACTACTTTTGTATTTATAATGATAAGAAAGACTTCTTGTATGCATGTCTTTTTAAAATACATATATAAATAAGTACTTAATTAAGTAGAATTATGAGGGATGGATACACATACTCTGACTGATACTTCACACAAGGCTCACCATTAGCCAGCTTGGGGAGCTGTGAATAGTGGCAGAACCGCATTTGGCTATTCGAGTTGACCCACCGACGTCAACTGAAAACCTATTCGGAATCACGTTATGTAAGACATGGGTGACTTCCAAGGTATGGAGCTTATTTAGGCTGAAACGTGGTGACTATGGGACCAACGCTAGATAATGAAACCCAAAACCACAAGACCCAGTGAGAAACCGAGCCCAAACTAGGCATTTAACTGTATCGCGTCCGGCTTAAGGAAGGTACTGAACTCTAAGGGGAACCGGTGCTGGTGTTCCTTAAAAGACTTACTGCGCTGGCTGCCTTAACGGTAGTGCACTGCAGTAACTCTTTTATCGCCTGTTATTGACGCCTAGCGCTAAGGTGCGGACAGTAAATTGTTGACGAGAGCCACAAAATCAGGAAATACTGATACTTCACCCAATCAATATAATTTATACCTAAATTATTAATGACGTTCATACTTTAACCAAAGGCTAACATTATCAGCAAATTATTAGCAATTTTATCAATCTCATTAGTTACACTTTAGCCTGCTGGAAATGTATAAAAATGTACACTGTAAGAAATGATCCAAAAAAATTCAAGTTTGGTGTAAATGTACAGAGTGTCTTATCGTAATTTACTAACTTGACTGTATAGACTAATATTTAAATAAGTGATCACAGTGGGACACTTTGTATACGTTAATTTTACATATAAATAGTGACATTTTAACATAAAAGTGTCAAAATTCATTTACAAACATAACATTCTTTACTACTATATTATAAAAAAATTTTTATATGCTATTTGCATTAAAAACTTGCAAATTCAAGTATGAGAAAATTCAAAAAAATGGTTTTCAATAGTGTATGTATTTGTAAAAATAACGACATTTTATCCTAGTTTAATTTAAAAGAATAATGTAAGGCCATGATCAGAAAAGTATTTTGAGAATGTCACGTGATCTATACATTAGTTTTTACATTTATTTCTGACTGTATAAAAATAATTTATTGATATTTTTGCCTACAGAGTTACTTTCACTCCATACAAAGCTTTATTATTATACATATACTTGTTAACATATGCTGACAATAGCAAAGGACCAAATATACTTCTAAGTACTGTAATTTATAACACATTTATTTATAGTAAATATAACACGTAACGAGATTTTTCAATTGTTATAGAAATAATTGATATTCTAAAAATGTTGTACTTGTAAAAATAATGTGTAAAACAGAACACCAAAAAATTTTTTACAACACTATTGTTTTATAATTTAATTTACAATCAAATTTTCCTAATACGACTAACATAACAGATTACAAGGTAATAATCAAGATAATTAGTTTTTTTAATCATTTTAAAATGTTTTGAAAGAATACCTTTTATCTTGCAAAGTTTGTATTTTAGAATATGAATAATATTATAATATAATATTGCTTAATGTACTGTTCGATCTGCATACATGGCAGTATATTTACTGTTTTTTTAATCATTCAATTTTTGTTTACATCGCATTATTCTTTATAGATGTTTTAAACCCAAATATATCTTTCAAAAACTCAATAACGTATACAAAATAAACTACACATTAAGATTATTCCAATAGTTTTATTCTATATAAGTTATTTAATATAAAAATCTTTGAAAATTTTAATGACAATAAATAAATAAAAAAAAGTCAACATTAAAAAAACCTTACTGCGTATAAATTTATAATACTCCAATTGAGCTGGCTAGTAAATGAAATTCATGTAATATTTTTTTATTCCATTTTTTGTTTTGTAATTAATTAATTAACGACACAATAATTATATCGACACTAGCCGATGGCTATATCCCAAGTATTCTATAATGACAGAAATATTTCAAGTGAACATTGAATAGGTGTAATACAATTGAAAAATAATTTATTTTTTAATATGTATATATGTTTTAATAATAATGCATTTTTTGTGCTTAGTTTGTGAAACAATACTACAATACTAGACATTCCGACTGCTCATAACCCTTTCTGACTCATAATGCTAGATAAGGTTTCGATTATCATGTAGTAGTATAGTGAAATTAATGTAATTCAAGAAGTAAACGACAGAATTCATAACGTATTAATACAACATATGATTCAAGAAAGATTTGAAAGTAAAACAATTTTCAATTTTTATGAAACCCAAACATTAATTTGACAAATTATATATTAATTTAGTACATAACATTAACTATTTAAAAAAAAATTCACCAAAGTGTTTTTAATTTATATAAATTATAAATCATTTTACAGTTCATGTTAATTTTAGAAAATTTTCTTTGCATATTATATTAAATATTAGGATATATTATTTGTAAGTTTCTATGATAACATAAACATAGAAACAAATGTTATATCTTGGCATAAAATACATAAGCATTTCTTTTGTAAGTATACAAATAATTTCAATATTATCAATATTTTAATTTATTATTAGACATTTAGTATAATATTTTCGTTAGTTATCTCTTGAAAAAAACGGGTTTGTATATATATATATATATATAACTATTTATTTATTTGCATGATGTATGATCTCTTGAAACAATAAATAACTTTTTGATTTTTAATAGACAGCGTGGGTTTTATAATATACTTGTTTAGATATTTTAATACGCCATACTCGGTAATGAGTTTGTTCGCTAAACGCGTAGGAATATTTTTATATTTAAATCGGAATAAAGTAATTTTTCTAAATTAGGAAATATTGCTCTTATAATTTTATGTAAATAACTTTTTTTTTATAAATACGACTTCGGACTATAAAAGTAAATAATAGAACTGAAGTTCATTATGACAAAAATGAGGTCTAGGTCACCACAACTTGTACGGTGCGTTCTGAGCTGAAAACTACTTCCTTGTATGGAAATCTGTGCGGAGTCTCTATGACACATTGTTCGTCAATAGTAAACCTCGCTTTTATTTTAAATCACACTATATACTCAAGGATAAATAATTTGTAAATTTAAGCATATATTAATTAACTTTATTTGTAACTATTGCAGTAGCTATAATTTATAAACTTGGAGTGCTCGATAAAATTATTTGTTAAGTTATAGTATCAATATTGTATTTCTTTAATTTCAAACTATATCTTACTTTATGTATATAATTACTAAAACAAGATATATTTATAACCTTGAATTTCTTTTTACATTTACTGACTACAGATCTCCGACATTTTAATCCACGTAGGTTTGACATATCCAAATCCTTCATAAAACTGCAACCAATATATGGTTTATTACTATCCAATAAAATAAAATAGTAAAAATATTACACATATTCTTATTGAAATGCGTTATTATAAATTATTTAAGTAATTAAAAAAAGTCTTTTTCAAATATATGACTATCTTATGTTTTTGTCAATACAAGGAATTGATATAATTAATTTTAATATTACTATTGCCTTAAAAAAAAATGCCATTTTCTATGTATGGACACGAGACTGTATTATAATTTAAGCATGTTTATGCTTTCATGTATATACAACTTTACTGGTCCTTTTTAAAACGTTATCGAATCTTGTTTAGCCTTAAATGGATATGTGTATAACACTTAAGTGTTATGGTTCCTTTTTTAAATTATGAACTAATTACTATAAGTGCATACAATATAATAACTTAAATATTTTTTGACTAAAAAAAAATGTTTTTTAGAAATAAATCAAGTGAATCATAAATCATGGCGACAGAAGTGGGATCAGATATCGCTCTTATTCAAGACGAAGACGAACTTAGAAGGATGGTAAATAATTTTTCAATTATTAAATAGGGTGCAGTTAAAATTAATGTCATTTTATGTTAAAGATACTCCTCGAAAGATATTTATAATGGAATTTAATAGAAAAAGTAATTTGTTGGTTTGGCGCAGTTTTTACCCTAAAAGCTTTCTGAAATTAAAATAATTAATACCAAGTAATTTTCAACAATAGTGTGTTACATAAAAATGTAGTAAAAATATAATAAATAAAATACAAAAATGTATATTATAAAATGTTACATAGAAATCTAAATTAGAAAAAACTTTATTTTGAAAAAAAATTTAATTTTGCAGTATATATGCGTGAGATTGGTATTTTTGGATAAAATGAGTTTGACTTGAAAATAAATATTTTAAACTTAGCACTTCTTTTGGTATCAACGATATAAATAAAATACTTTTGTAGAATATATTATTGGATTTTCAATACATGTATCGATATTATTTCATATGGAAAAAAAATATTTTAAATATAGCTTACTGGAAACATCATGTAGTGGTTAAATGGCTAACAAAGCTATAGCTGAAAAATAATAGCCCCCTCTTATTGTTCGTGATACTGATTGGTTAATATGACATATAATTACTATAAATAATTTATGATTTTGACACTAAAAAGCATAGATAATGAAAAATCCTATGTACTCCCTTGATTATAAGTTCTATAGAGTATATTTTAATATAGAATTGCATTTATTTTATAAATACTATGTATATTAAAATATCTTGTTTGTTAAAATAATTTTCCTAAATACTTTTAGTGGATGCAAACGGAAGATTTCGGAAAAAAGAAAGAAATACGAATGAAAATGTACAAACTTCGAGAACAACGATTAAAAGAATTTTACACCTCAGGAGAAATGATTTTAACAGAAACAACATCAAAACGATCATCAACCAGAACACATACTGAATCTATTGCTGATCAAGGGTTTATGACTATGAAAAGTAAGGAGATTCGTGATTCTGAATCCCCTACTGAAGAATACCAACGCCAGTCAATTATTGAGAAAAATTTTCAAGCTAATTCAAAAAATATTAACTCTAATGTCAACGGAGACGCGATTCAAGTAGAACCATCTTTTTATATTCATCCTGTTGAAGAAATTATAGAAAGCTCAATACAAACATCCATGACAAATTCATCATCGTCTAAGAGGGAATCATCGCAGACTATTCTATCAGTATCAGAAGAAACTCAAAAGGTAGAAACTGATTTTAATACGAAATCTATAACAAATAAACATGCGAATTCGAATGATGAACAGTTTTTGACTTCCGATATTTCTAATAATAAGTCCAATAATTATGATATTAAAAATAAGATTTCAGAGTCTATATCTACTTCATCTTTTGAAAACATAACACAAAACGATAAAAATTCAATTTCAAAAGACCATGAGACAAGTATTGAAAATACAATATCTTTTAATGGAAATAAAAATATTTTTGAACCAATATCTGAAACAACTTTTATTAAAAATAACTACTCTGAAGAAAGCAACTATAAAACAGATTCTTGTGAATCAAACAATAAACAATCATCTTCGACGACGAATAATAAATTTGTCAATGAATTACAAAAGCCTGAACCTTACTTAGAACAATCCAAAAAAGACGAAACGTCTTCTTTTGATTTATCTCAATTAAAAGAACAAAATCAAAAAGAAGTAATTGAAAAACAACTTTTATCGTCTGACTCACATAAAGAAAATATTGATGGTCAGTACACTACAACCTACAATGATTCATATCAAACACCGAAAATAAGTGTTGATTTAAGTCCAACACATGAAGCTTTTGCCAGAAGTTTAAGGTCTACTCCTGAACGATCTAGTCCTTCTCCTTGTAGAGACAGAACTGGTTCAGAACAAAGATTTAAATCACGAAGTCCAGAAAAATTTAGAACGTCCCCAGAAAAATCTCTTAGCCCACCTAGATCGATAAAATCAACAACTAGGAGGAAATTGTCCTCGACATATGAAAAAGATATTTCAAAAAAACGAGCTAGCACACCAACTCGAGACAAAAAGTATGATTCATCAGACGATTCTGAATGTTCTGCAGCAACACATGGTACTTATGACAAATATTCAAATTCTAAAGAGAAAAGATCATTATTTTCCGAAAATAAAATAAGAACTTCATCTACAAAATTTGATATCATTTCTAATAGTTCCGAATTAAAAAAACAATCCAATTCTAAAAGCCCTGAATTCAGAGAAAAATCGCCTGGTTATAGTAGTGAAGGGTCAGTAGGAATAGAAATCCAAAAATCTACTCCTAGACCAAAAAATAATTTTCATGATAGTAGTCCTGAAAGAAGTGCATTCAAACCAGTTAAGAATTTTAGTACTTCACAAACGCAAAATACAATCAAATGTGACAAGACTTACACATTACAAGAAGATAAAAAAAATACAAATAGTTATAATACTCAAAATAAAACTGATAAAAAAAATAATTTCATAAAAATAAAAAAAATTACTGATGAAGATAATATTAATGAATCTAAAGTGAAAACTCAGTATGAATATCAAAATAAAAACAATACTTCGGCAAATATATTAGATTTAGATAGATTTATAATAGCAGAAAAAGACTATAACACTGAACAACAAGAACAAAATAGTAAAAAAAGGTCAAGTATTAGTAATGATAAGATTCTTAATGAAAACAATATCGATAAAAGTATAAATGACCAAAAACAATTCATAATAAAAGAAAAATCAAACATAAAAATTCAAGAATTCGACCAAACAAATAAAAAAGATCGTGCTGATGAAGTTGATCATAAAAAGAAAGAAAAATCACCTGTAAAACAAGCCAAAATAGACATTAAAAAAACTTCTTCTTCTTCAAGCATTAAAAATTATGAAAAAAAAAATATTTCGTCATTTGATCGCAAATCTGAAAACCAAACCAGTAGTGATAAAAGTAATACAATAGTTCCTCAAAAAACAACAGTTGCAGCACCTTTATCACCAACGAAGAAAACAACGTCTTTAAACTTAGAAAATACATCGTCAAGAAAAAATATTGTACATAGAAATTCAAACGACTTAATATTACATAAAACTGTAAAAAAAGACTTATCTAGAGATAAAGTTGATAAGAAACTAACCAAAACAAATTCAAAAACTTTATTAAATAATAATTATAAAGAAAATATTTCAAAAACAATAATTAAAAAACCAAGTCAAGAAAGATTAATTAATCAGAAAACTACGATTTCATTTCGTAATAAAATTACTTCACCTGAAAATAAACTTAAAGTCCAGGAAATAAAAAAACCTATGGAAAAAAAAGATTCAAAAGAAAAAATTAAACATCAATTTATTTCACAGGCTTCACAGAGCAAATTAAAATCAACTACTGATATTAAATCACCAACGAGTATTACGAAAAATAATATAGAAAATATTAATAACAAAAAAAGTTCTATTTCAAATGCTGTAAAAGTTAATCAGAAAAACATTACTTCTAAGCCGAGTATCTGTATTACTCCAACCAGAGAATCTAAGTCTTTTCCTAAAGCTAATACAACTATAACAAAAATTCAAACCAAAAAAACGGAGTGTACTGATTTTACTTACAAAGGAAATAAAGTAGAATCAATTAAGAAGAACACAGATAAACAAACAAAAGTTATAGAAGATGAATTGCCACCTGAAATGTTTGAAAGTGGTAGTGATTTAGATGAATGTGCACAGAATCCTAATGATTACATCCCTAAAGACTCACCACATTATTCATCGTCATCATCGGAAGATGAATATAATATAGATGATAAAAAAAAAATCGATGAAATAGATGATATTAGGCACAAAGCCGAAGAAGAATATGGTGAAAAAATGATAAATAAAGATGGTTTATTAAACGTTATTGTTCAATTACCACCATCGTCTAGAGAATCATCTCCAGAATATTCTGTAAGGTTTGGAAAAAATTATAGCTCTGTTTCAGATGATGCCAGTTTACCTAGGTATGCCGATGCAGTTAGCGAACCGGAAGATGTTAATGATTATAAATTTTCGAATAATAAATATGATCAAGTAACTGATTTAGATGAAGAAATAAATGTCACAGTAGCAGACCGAGTAACTAAATTTTTAAAGAACGCCAATAAACATGAAGATATAAAAAGTACAGTAGTACCTAAAAGCCCACAAGCTGTCAGAAAAACTAAAGAAATATTTGAGTCAATCGCTAAAGGACAGACAGATGAGACTAAACTTGAAAGTGTTTGTGAAAACGAATCACAAATTGATCACCTGTCAGATATTCACGAGGAAACTAAGCAGACTAATCTTAGTAAAATGTCCGATTTCCAATCAGAAATTGAGCAAACTAGTGTAAATAATACAATTATTAAAAAAATGTCAGGTATATCCGACTATAAAAATAGAAAGGAATTTTTTGAAAATAAGAAGAATGATTCTCAAACTTTGAGAGACTTTGCAGAAAAATCTACTCCATATGTTTCAAAAAATTTATCTGTTTCGAATTCATTGAAAGATAGACGCGCATCATTCGAAACAAAAATCGATAAAAAAACTCCATTACAAGATAAAACAAATGCGCCTAAAACAGTTCCATTAGAAACTAAACAGAAATCGCCTAAAATATTTAGTAAAAGCCAAACTAAAGAATTTACAACAGATATTTTTGATGTAAAAGTTGAGGAAATTAAGAATAATCGACGGCTATCGGGTTCAAAATCTTTTAATGACCGAGCTAATATCTTTGAAAAAAATGAGAATGTTTCAAAACCAAATAAGGTAACAAAATATGTTAAAAATACACCACATATTCCATTGACATATACTAATGAAAACTCAATTAGTAAAAACTCAGAAAGAAAGTTGATTAATAATATAAAAGATGACTCTAGTTCCGAGAGAGTGTGTAAAAATCATGAAAAAACTGTTGTTGATAATAACCTACAAAAAAATTTATTAGAAAAACGATCTTCTACTGATGATTTTGTTAATAGGAAAACATTAAAAAGTCCAGAAAGAGGCACAAAAAACATAAATGAGAGTAAAATTGAAAGTCGTTATTTACAGAATACAACAGCGTCATTAGCAAAGATTGATACGTCATTAAAACATTCTGCAACGCCTCAAAAAACTACAGCAACTTCCCAACATACACTATCCCATAAAATTGATGAAGATATAAAAATTGAAGAAATATTCGATCTAGCAGTTTTAGAAATAATGGTAAGTTAATATAGAATATAAAATAATTCTAGCTAAATTTAATTTGTACTTTGTTGAAATACTTAAAGAATTTATAAGATTGCAATTAAGAAATGAAATGTTTAATAAAAGAAATAAAATAATAACTTTTCTAAAAAATTTCAGTAAAAATAATAAATTTATATAGAAAATATTAACCTTATGTATTATATCAATGTTATAATTCGAAAGATATTGTTGGACAATAAATTTTGTATATTAAAAAAAAAAACACTTATTTACATATACTTTTAAATTCTGCTCATAAATTAATATTTTCTTTGTTATTTTTTAACATTAATACTTAAAATTATATTTTTTATTTAACTAAAAACTTTATAACACGAAAATTTATTAATGATTATTATTTATATTAATAAATATTATCTTAACGTAAACTGAAAAGTATTATAATTTAAAGTGAACTGATATGAATTATTTCCGATATCTAATAAGCCTATATTTGTTGACGATATAACATCGATAACCAATTCAATGTTACAAATTATACTTAAAAAACACAATTCCAAAATGTAAATATATCGCGTTTAAAAAAAATTGACTATTTGAATATATTTTGATTATTTTTCATTAGTAAGAGTTTAACATTTTTTACTTTAAATAACAATTATATTGTCTTTTGATTGCTTAATCTATTGAAAATTACACTTTTGAGATCTTTTTAACATTCTCTATTTATTGATTGAACTACTTTAACTGTAAGTTACATATAAAAAAATATATTGATTAATTTAATATTTTTTTTTTTAAATAATTTTACTCAACTTCAGAAACTTTATGGCACATGTTGACCTAATCATATAAGTCTCGAATTTTGCATTGAATATTTTTTTAAGTATTAAAAGATAAAATTAGTGAAATTAAAAAAATGGATATTTAAAGGCTATCCTATCATAGATAATCAAGAGTTATGAAAATTTACATTGTTTTAATTTCTATAAATTTATTTTATTTATTGTAACATTTAAAATAATTCATTATGGAAATAACATTTATGTATGTTAATAATTTATAGCTTGAAAAAGCTGTTGGTTATGATCGCAGAAGAAGAATAAGAACACAAATTCGGTTAGTAAAACGTCAATTAGAATCCATAAATGGAAAAGAAACACAATCTGTCATAACTACAACACACACAAAAAAGGTAAATTATTATTAAATCGTATGTTTGAAAAATAATTTTGTTTTATGTAATAATATTGTATTCAATTTTAGAGTGTTAGAGAAGTTTCACCGCCACCACCACAAAAACAAAGTAGCTTCACTATTGAAATCAGGGAATCAACCAACAAAACAGAAACCGCAAAACACATAAGCCCGTCACCTCAGTACACGCGAACAAAACCAGCTAACAAGTCTAGATCACCTTCCCCTCAAAAAATTAATCTAAACATAAGTAAAAATCAAACTTCTGTATCTCAAAAAATATCAACTGTTGTAAAAGAAAGATCTCCGTCACCTCAAAAAACACAAATTGAAAAAACACGATCTCCTTCACCAAAGAAATCTGTTATCGAACACCTAGAGTCTAATAAACACCTTAATAAAAATACTTCAACATCTAAAAATTCTCAATTCAATTCTTCAACCACAACGACTACAACTAGCACATCAATTAAAGGTAAATATTTTTTTTTTATTAATTATTACAATTATGAATAAATTATTAATGAAAAAGTGTATGGTATTAAAAAAATTATCACATAATAATTTAAAAATATTATCTATAAATTTATTGATATAAAATTACGGCGCGATAACTTGCTTTATATATATTTGGGTGTTATTAATAATTATCCTCAGGTAGATTTTTTAAGACATCCTTATGCATTTTTGTAATTAAGTGGCATATTATCGCATAGTCATTTATTTTGTCTAAATTTTCCTCTTTGAACAAAAAGCATACTTAGTTTTATCGAGTATTCCTTAAAATTTGGCGCTAAATTCATTTTCGATACGTCATTGGAGGCAGACCTATTAAGAAATATAACGTTCGGTATCTGATGTGGAGTCGTCTATTACCAATCGTATAAAACTTTAATCTTAATATGTTTGTTGTTACAGTTTTAGTATTACTGCTGATAAAACATTTTAAGTTTTATCTGTTTATATTATGCATTGTTAAATTATTACTAATGTAAAATAACGCCTCTCCTAAAAAGTGACATTTTGAACAATTTTTTTCTTAAATACATTGATCTATTGTTCTCATTCAAATTATAATATATTTAAAATTTGATCAAATATATATTTTTTTTCTTAAAAACGCTATTGATAGGCTTTATTAGCCCTACGTCAATATCCTATATACAGCTATATATGTGTAGAGGCCATTCGGTGTATTATTATTGAGATTATCTATATGATTTTTCGGAGAACCCTTAATACAGTTGTGAAGATATACAATATCTCACCTAAACCATAATGGGACGATGTTTTTTTTTATATTTTGCGAGGCACAGCCTCTGCCCATTGTTCGCACCTGCACTTTATGAACCAAATAATATCAATAAGGATTTGATCGATGTTGACGGTAGACCATAAAAAAAGGACCGATGGCAGTACAACGTTAATGCGACAACCTGTTTAAATATGAAACCGTTGACGTCTACCTAGACCGTGTGGTTATTATATTTTAACGTGGCCACTAGTGAGTAACGGCGACTATTCACCGACTGCACTGGCTATCACAATTCAGGGGTTTGTGTCGTCGAGAAGGGGTGACGCGGGTAGGAGAAGTCGGTCGGCGGGCGATGGGCGCTTGCTGTGCATGCGATGTGCATGCGGCAATCTGTCCGGCACTCCCGCGCCGCACGGTAACGGAGTACGGTCCGTCGCGTCCGCAATAGTCATCGTGCGAATTTCCACGTTTTAATAGAAAAAACTAAGTAAATATTTGATTTTTTTCGTGGAATTTTGGATAAATAATAGCGATGGGTTTCCAAGCAATTGCGTCAATATTTTACGGCTGTAATTTGGTATGTATTGAAAAACCAGACCATTACTCGAAATATCACATATAAAGTTTTTTATTTTAATATATTTTTACATGGATTTTTATTTTATGAACATATTATTTGACCTTATCGATTGAGTGAGACGGTCTAGGGCGTCCGACGTGCGAGTATAGGTATACCAGTAGGTTAAACATCATTGTGTGTTGTATGGTATGGCGTTTAATTTGTTCGTCAGTGCTATAATTAGGAACTCTAAAGCTGGTCAGATCGATCAACAGTTAGGGCATTGGGCTAGGAGTGTATATTTTTAACGGCCGAAATCATTTTAAATGTCAAGTAGCTGGTTTTAGTAATGAGTGCTGTATCGACTAATAGTTTTAACACCATTCGATTGTTCGCCTCACTTCGAGACACAATGTCAACAAAACGTCGTCGTTCTTATTTACCATGGAGGTATTCTGTGAGAAAACGCCGGGTAAATAAACAAAACCATTATTTTACTCCACTCAGTTTTTGTTACTTTGTTAGATTCACACCTTTAAATATATTGCTAATGCTGTTTACGATGAACATTCCAAAAAAGTATATAATTATTGCGCTTCAAATCTACAGGCAGTTCATTTCGAGTAAGCGTTTAATTGTTTGATGAGATTAATACCTTTCCTGAATGTTATTTATGTTGAGTTAAACTCTTGATAACTATAGGACAATATTATCCAACTAAACTATATACAATTACATATTTAATTGAAAACTTGGACCAAAATACAGTTTTTTTATGTATTATTAAGTTTAAAGTTTACATAGACATTTTACTTGTATTTCAGGTACAAATAGCACTTCTGTTAAACGATTATTCATAACAAATTATAACATATTGTTCTAGAACGGCGATTTAAATTTGTTTCGGTTAGATTTTGCTTTCTACAACCATTATTTTGTAAATCTAATTGTATAACAGAAAATGAATTGTAGCCTTCATGATTTCGTCTCGTAACAGATTTTCCCGACCGTAACGTTTAATCTCAAAACATTAGTACTTCTATGCCAAAAAAGTTAGCACCCGTCAGCTGAGATTTATTGCGAATGTGTATTTTTTAAATCCTTTTCACAGCTTTGACGTCAATAGGCCTGATTAATTATGATTACATAATTTTTATAAGTATCCCGATTGATATATTTGTCATCGTTTTGTATCTATAATAATATTATTATTTTTTTAATTTAATTGCTCTTTTAACGCATTATTAATTCTCGGAGCATTAAAAATTGGAAATCTATACATTTTAAACTAATGGAACGAAATGAATCATCTATTTAAAATCCTCATCCATGATATTTACTCAGTAAAGTAATAATTGTTTTTGTTTAATAGAATTTGGTTAATAGTTTTTTAATTTTAAGAATGGTAACAAGTCTTGATATAATTAATAAACTAGGTGAAATTTTGTATTCTGTGTAAATGAAGAGAACAATGTCTCTTATAATTCAAATGTTTTAATTTTATCATTGCTGTTCCTTTAAACTTTGAATAGAAATTTTTTAAGTAATAAACTGATAATTTAATAACAATATTCATTAAAAATTAACCAATCTTGTTTTATTTGTTAACGAATTAATTTTACTTAACTATACATACACCAATTACATATTTAGCTAGTTATGTCAAATCGCCGTAAGAGTACATATATTTTGCTTTACGTTTTATTAACATAGTTTTTTCATAATTTTGTGAGACACGAGTTTGATATATTTTGTGTTGTACCAATTTCATGTTGTTATTTTTTTCTCGTAACACATGCTGATGCCTAACATTCAACATGATTGTGTATTTTAAAACTTGACAGTCAATGCTGTCATTGATTGTCAAGTTTTAACGGGTTTGGTTTTTCTAAGCGTTAGTTACAAAATAGTATAAATGTAAATTTTAGTGTAAAATACGATTATTGGAAAATGGGCGGTGATTGATTGTAAATTATCTAACTTACATTCAAATAAATTTCATTGAATAAATGATTTTTTTTTTAAATTGGCTATTGGTTTTGTATCTAAATTTAAACTTTTAATAGTTATACTGTAAACATCATTTAACATCAACTCTGAAAAGTGCTTTTAAAATTGTTTATTAGTAGAAATATATGATTTCGCACCACAGATTTAAGCTTTTAATTATAAATATAGTTGCCGGCTCGTTTAGTACATGTGCGTAATACATGAGATTTAATTTTAACTGTATTAAAAGAAATCATGTTAACGGTAATAATTCATGACGGGCCCATTGCCAAACTATGCTTCGTAAAAGGAATAATAAACTATACGTCTTTTATTCATAAAAAAATTAGTCTCGTAAAAAAGTAATCAATATTCTCGTCATAATAATCATTGGTCGCGTAGTTAGGGTTTTGTTCTAGAGGGGGTTATACATGAGAAAATTTTTCACTGCCCCTTCCAAACAAAAAGTAATTGTATTTATACTACGAAATCAATTTGATTCTGGAGATCTATCCTCGCCATCCCTCAATTAATTATGCGGTAATTACTAATTTTAAATTAGTTTTAGATATTCGTTTTCAACTTAAATCATTTCAACTTAACTTATAAACACGTCTGGTTGTTATAGTCTCATCATTTTTTATTATCCGAAAGATATTTTTTCTCAATTTGTAGCAGTGTTTCATTGTTAAAAAAAGTTACTAAATTTAGCATTTCTAGAAATAATCGCACAAAAATTAGTGATACACATTCCTTTGTAAAATACTTAATTTAGTGTAACGATATCTTCATTTAAAAGTATTTGTCTGCTTCAGTAATTTCTTGCAAATATACTTGTGTATAATATCACATATTTATATGAGAATTTAGCTAATTTATTGACTCACAAAACTAAGACTGCAAAGCTTCACTGCTGCTTGCCAATTTCTGCTAACTTGATGCAATTTCTAAATTTTCTAATTAAATTAAAAATACTACAGTTGAACAAATCCACAATTTGTTAACGAGCGCGTAGGATTTATTTAATTGTGCTTGCAAAAAGCAAGATCTTTTTTAGATGAAATGTATAGTTCATACCTTTATTTTGTTGGTTAACTGTGCCACAACATGCTCTTTGAGCATAACCATTTATTTATTGACGTAATGCTACGTTTTCGATTTTCACATTTATGTAAATGGTTTTCATTTCGTTTTGTTTTCTCTGATCTTCAATACAATTAACTGTTACATTGTGCACAGTTAAAAGTTTTGATTTTCTGGTATAGTTATTCTTCAGATTACTGTCACACTTGAAAAATATTATTAATGACAGTGTATGATTTACTTTTGTTTTTACACTTCAATTTTTCAATTGTTAGTACCTCAAATGCAATCAAATCATATAAAAATAATCTAAAATAAAGTTACACGTATATCAATGATACTAGGCGCACCTTTAACACATGCAATTATTATTAGTAGTCTACTACCGTATTTCCGCTGTATGTTTCCTGTAAATAACTCAACAATACACACTGACCACTAGTAAACGTTTACGATAAATTATTTTATATTGTATTATAAATTAAGTTTTAATAATATGTATGGCACTTTTTAAATAATACTAATAACAAGAAAATTCATCTAACATGATCTATTTTAATACTAATATGTAAACTTCGACAAAAGCACAATTTTTTTGGAATCATTTCAAATATTTATAAATTGTAAAGAAAATTTATAAAATTTATAGTAAATAATTTTTTTTATTAAAATTAAATTATTAAACGCTTTAAATGTAAAAACAACATACAATTTGACGATTTTTTATATAGAAGACTATTTTTTTGTCAAAATTTAAATTTTATGTCACTGTAAAATAATGAAGTAAGAGTTTTATTTTGGTGTATGGTTAAAGTAAATTAGACGTATCTTGATAGGCAGAATTGTTGTACCTATTTTAAAAACAGCACTATACTCAAAGCTGTCCTCGGGGGGGTTAGATGGGCCCTAGGCCTCGCAAATTTTAAAGAAGTCCCTAAGTTTACTACATTTCAAATTAAATTATCGGTGCAAATTATTTCAATGTATTGCAACTTTGCTTACTTTTCGGATTGAAATTACTGTAAAAACGTTGAAAATTTTTATTTTTTCTAGTATATAACACTTGATAAATGTCCAAAAACATCTACTTACTATATAATAAAAATTAGTGCTAGCCTTAACCTACATCTGCCAAATTTTAGGTCTAGTCATTTGTGGAATAATCGTCTTATGCCAAAAATATAGCTTATTAGTATTATTTTACTTTTTTCTTACATAAAAATGTTTTCAATTTAACAACTTGATTTCCATTCGAATGTTGGTTTTTATTTTTTCATTTTAAAATATAAAGCACATGGTTAATAAAAATGTATATAGTTATTTAAAAACTATAACATATATACTTACTAAGATAGTAATAAGAAAATAATTTTTCTAGTGTTGAAATTATAAAATGCTAAAAAAATTTGTAAATATATAATTTCATAAAAAAAATATTTCACGCCATTATTTAATACCAAAGTAATTCTAATGGTTTTAATTCAAGTTTTAATGCATATAAGAATTTAATAATAAAAACAGAAAAACTTAAGATATAGGGTAAACGATTTTCAGAATTAACTTAACCTTGGGACGATTTTATTACTTTTATTCAATAGATATTCTATATGTTTTTTATCTATTAACTATGCTTTATATAACAATATCTGTGTACAATGTTATTGACCAATGACCCAATGTATAATAAGTTTTTTTTCATGTGCATCGAATTTAGAAGATTTTTTAGTACCCTGCTTGTATATCGTCATAAAAATCGAAAATTGCTATTACATAATTTTGTAATGGAAATTAAGAAGCCGTCATACAACAGATCTTCAACATTGCATAGATTGTAATGCTTTCCCATAGACATGGGTAAAGAGCGGTAACTAATTAGACACGCCTATTGTAGTCATACTCGGTTATCACTATTATAATTTGATAACAATGGATATCCTTAACTCTATTTTTAGATTCACGGTAAAGATTAGATATTTGTATAGATATTAGTTTTTCTTGTTGCTAATTAAGAATAATATTCTCAATTGATTATTTAAACATATTTAACAACACGTTTTGAATTATTAATAAAATGTATAAACTCCTTTTTGTAATTAACTTTTGTTAATAGTTAGTTCATAATTAGTTGTTAAAAATAGCAAGAATTTTTTGTTTGTACTGATAATTTATTATCCTTAGTTTTCAAAATTTATTGAAGAAACAATATTTTTAAAGTTTCTAAATTATAACTAAGAACTAAGATTTATTTTAAATCTTCAATAATAGCTTCCTTTACATAAAATTAAATGTATTTTTTAAGTTTAAATTTTTAAGATATATTTAAAAATGTGTTATTTTTCGATGTGTTCATTATTAACAATATTATTTAAGTAATTCATAGTTCCCCTTGTAAATACTAGTAATGCAAACAAATAGACAGTATACTTAAATGAGATAATGCCATATTTTTCCAACGCCTTAAAACTATAATTTTGTTTAATAATATACTTTTGCTCTCTTTAATACTAATAAGACAAATTATATGGATGAGCATACAACTAAGCACTTTTTAAATGCAATTTCTCCAGTCAAATCATCTCATGCGTTGCTATTGAATAGAAAATTTACAATTCATTTAAAGGTGTATATACCATAGATGCATGTTAATGCAATAACCTACATTTATTAGATGTCAGAAAGTATTTCATACGTCATTAAGCTAATCAGCTCTTTATGAAACAGCTAAATCTAAATACTAATGTGGATTATTTGAAGTCAATTTGTATTAAATACTAAGCACCTGTTTAACGGAATTTAGCTTAAATTTCTCATTTAAAAATAGTTAGAACTTTAATATAAATTCGTCTGTAGTTAGAGAAATAATATTTAGGTAACATAAAATATAATTGATAACTAATTTTTTTACTACTTTATTTTCAGTAAAAAGTGAACAAGTAACTAAGAAAACTGGCACGAATAATTATTCAACTGGTCAGAACGTTACCGACTCTATTACTTCGAGTTATGGTGTAGGTCCTACAGATGATAATGGGAGACCATTATTTGGTTTAAGAGCTCTTAGAAAAACTAATACCAGTCAATCGATTAACGGTAATATTTACCATGGATTGTAAATTTTAATCTATGTAACATGTCCACATACTGTTTTAATAAAAAAAATTTAATAAATAATAATTCTTTAGTATAATTATTATACTTATTAATATTTTAAATTAAAAAATTTATAGTGAATGAGCCATGTGCATATCGAATTGAAGAACCAGAGTCTCCAGCAATTTTAAATCAAACGAACTCATCTCTATTTGGATTGAAAGCATTGCAAACTGAAAAATCGTGTAGGATAGAAGAATCTAAAACAGTAGTTCAAAAACAAAAAGGCGTTGTTGACCAACTAATTACTGACAACAAAGGAAAACCACTTTTTGGACTAAAAGCACTTCAAAGTGTTAGTAAGAACGACGAACCATTATACGAAGACATGCCAGAGCCACCGGTATCGCCTCAATTAAAAGAGCTGGTACTTAAGCATGAACGACATGTCGCTAGTAAGTGTAAAATAGTAAATAAACTTTAATAAACCTTTAAAGTATAAAAATTAAAATAAATTACATTTCTTATAGATGAAAATTCTAAATTAGAGTCACAACCTCGTCAAAAACCTAAGGCTAAATTTAGAGATAGTTTTATATTGGACACTAAAGATGAAGATTTGTATTCTACATTTAAACAGAATGGATTTAATGATACAAATTCAATTAATTTAAGTTCAATAATAAAAAAAAATGAAAATGAAGATAGCCAAAACAATGGTACATTTACCTATATACTTTTTTAGAACTTTTTGCAAATCTGAATTCTATTTTTTATTTAAACTTGATTTAATAGAATCCACGATAATAAAAAGCAAAAGTCAGTCTACCGTGTTTCAATCGAAAAGTTGTATGAAATCTGATGGAGCCGGAAACGTTTCGGTCACGCAAGACTTCATTAAAGGTAATTGTTTTGTTCCTGTAAAATAATATTCATGATTTGCGATGTGTTACAGTATAATATAAGTAATTTGTTTTAAAGAGTTTTTAAATATTTGAGTTATTTTTTCATAACAAAATCTCTAAGAAATTGAGAATTAAATTGAAAAAGAATGCATTAAACATTTATAATCCGTTATTATTTTATTAAACGGGGAAAATTAGTTATTTTTAATAATATTTGTCTTTAAATGCGCTTTAAGATTTATTCTTGAAAAACTTCGATTTTTATAGTTTAATAACTATCTTGTGTGTTTCCTAAGCTTGTATTTGAAACCAAATACGAACAATATTTATTATTATTATTATACCTAAAAAGAATTACTTATAAAATATGTATAAACGATGCTAATATTTAACGCTGCGCTAGGTATAAAAAAAAAAATACAACCTGGATACTTTCCAAAACGTAATTAAAATACGCAAATCTTGGTCAGTTCAAAAGCCGTTACTTGTGTGTAGCAATAGCTAGTGTAAAGATTAACCGTTCTTCTAAAAGAAAGAACCATATCATGCAAACTCATTATGATAACGTTACGAGATAATATTTTAAATGCCGGTTTATTTATTATCTTATTAATAGCATCATACGCATACAACTTAGCTCTGTTTTCTTTCTTTATGGTGTTTATTGTTTTACAAATTGGTCAATATCGTTGGAATAATAGTACAATATTAGAAGGTAACCAACATTTTAACATTTTTTAAACTTTTTTACAAATGCAAGTAAAACATTTAAAATTATACATTATTGTCCGTTCATCAAAATATTTTATCCAAAACAACTTTTTAAATTATTATTTTAACACAAACACCCAAATCAATCGTAAAACATTTCATTAAAATTAAGGAGACGACTATTTCAGTTAATCTGACGGATAAGACATAGATTCCTAGCGTGATGCCATTATTTTAAAAAATGTATAAGAAACAAAATGATTATTCGCTTATTTTTCTTTTGATAAACTCAAAAAAATCTTAGTTAAATCATGTTCTAACGATTTTTAATCTATCAAATATGTTTTTAATTGTTTTAGGTGAAGTTTCTTCTGTGAATGGCCAAGAACCGTCTGGAAAAGTAACTCAAAGTCATTATACTTATCATAGCCCTAATGAATTGGATAATCCAAAGGGTATTTCTAAAGTTACCACAGTTACTAAGGAAATTGGTGGAAATTCTACCGGTCCCGAAATCACCGAAATTACTGAAGAAGTGGAAAATTCTGACCGTCTCGATGGTAATAAAGTAATAAAAAGAAGTCGCACGAACGACAAATTTGAAAGTATTCAAAAGAGGTTCAGCCAAGAAAGTTTTGATCAAGATTCAAGGCGTTCGTCTAGGGAAAGCAACAAGTATGAAAATACCGACGAATCTCATGTAACTACATCCAATACGCCTAAGTCAACCCTAGCCCGCGGGGACTCTATACGAGCTCTTCAGCATAAATTCCAACAAGCCACTGGTAAATGATGACTTTGTAGTCATTAAAACCTTTAACTTAGAAATTATATTTATTTATTAATTTTATTTTAGTTTCGTCAAGTATGAAACAAAACAAAGCTGTAAAAAGTGAATCTTTTAAGAATGTTCAACAGATTGAACAATCTAATTCGACAGTCAACACTAAAATTAGCAGCACTTCAAAAACGGGTGCTACCTCATTTTTAGACAATAGTTCTAGAGTAACGGGTGTTCAAGACGTCTTGACTAGAATGCGTAACGCAGATTTGGGTACCAAATAAATCTTTATTTTTATTAATAAATATTAATACTTCGCTATCCCATAAATAAAATTCAGTCGTAGAGAACGGAGATACTAATGAAGATTCTGAAGCTCGTTCCTTACTAAACAAGTTCCTGGGTGCATCTGTCATTCTTCACGGAATGGAACAAGGTGCCAAATCTCCTACTTCAAGTTCAGTTAACACCACTACTTCAAATACAAGCAGTGCTACACTTGTAAACCGAGTAGAAAAACAACGTAATCAGGTAAATAATGTGCATAACTAAAAGTATTATAAATATTAGAATACCATTAGTTTAAGCTTGAAGTATAAAGATTGTACTGCTAAGAAATTTTTATTAACATAAAGGGTTTTCGCTGTTCTATGAGATAAAAACACAATCGTCCCTATTGAATTTTTATTATTAGAAACATAGTCCTAGTACTTCTCCTTGAAAGTTGATAAGTCACTTTACTTAGGCAATCTATTTGTGAAAGAATTCTACATCAAAAATTCTATTCTAGATTTAGTAGCCAAAAGTTCATGTGATGGTTATAGTTTTGATAAGATATTATAAATGAAAAACCATAGGTAGGATTGCTTTAAGACCTTAGAAATAATTATGTGAAAGCTTTAAAAAAAAATTTTTTTTGACATTGTTTTTTCACGCAAAAATATATATAAAAAATACTTTTGAGAAATTCAGTCACAAAAAGTTTAAAATCTATAGTTATATCTTTCTATTCAGCACCCAATTCTTCGTGCGTTTATCTCATATAACATATTTTTTTATAAATTCTATAATAAAAAGTTTTTTGATATAGTAGCCTTCTATTTTTACTAACACCGTTTTAAATAAAATTACATACACAATTGTTTATTTAAATGTGTTTACCATTTTTCGTTTGATATTTAATAGCAGTCTTATCACTTTTATAATTTAAAAATTGAATATATTGAAACTACTATAAGAGAGAGTATAGTTGTAGCGTCAATCGTGGATAAGATGAGAGAAAATAGACTTCGATGGTTTGGTCATATTATGAGAAGAGAAGAATCGGAAGCCGTAAGAACAGTTGTAGAAATTAATGTTGAAGGAGAAGAGGTAGAGCAAGACCAAAAAAGAGATGGAGAAATGTTATTGAATGTGATATGAGGACAGCTGATGTGAGCGTAGAGGATGTGGAAGATCGTGTCAAGTGGAAGTTTAGGATAAGGGTGGCTGACCCCAAGTAGTTGGGATTAATGCAAGGAAGAAGAAGAAGAATATATTGAAACTATTGCTATCCATACGAACAATGAACGTTATTAAATATACTTATCTTGATATTTCCAAAATTAAAAATTTACTTATAGTTATTTATTTTTTATGTTCAAGGTTGAGCATATTAACACTTTAAAAATAATTAAAATGTTAAATTAGTTAATTTGATTTAGATAACTCGTTAATTTTTGGAAGATTTGTCTTTTAAACTATCTAATTACCTTTTTAACCTAAATAACGTGTTAACCTAAAGTTGATTACAACAATATAAAAATTAAATTGATTTATTTCTAGAATACTAAAATATATGTATAAGTTAGTTTTAACCTGACCTAACCTACTATTTACAAAAGTTACTGAATTTGAATAGATTTAAGAATAAATCAATTTGCCTAGCCTTGCTCATATTCTATCTGATTGTTGATATCGGATTCTTACTTTTTTTAACTTTTAAGTTGTTATTTAAGACTTTTAGTCTTTTATTTAAAGTTTTATAATATGATATATTTAAAAAAACAAATCACAAAACATTTCTTTACCACGTGCTCTAAGTATCAGTTGACGTCACTCTTTTATTACTTTTTTATTCATGACCATTTCTTTGTAACTTAGTTCTTTGTTTATAATTATACGTTTCTACTAAGTATTCAGACATTATCCCTTCCTCGTGTTTGCAATGTCTATATTTATTTATCCTAGATTTTGGTCATTAATTTAAATATCGAATGTATTTCTCAAAAAATATGTAGAACAACGACAATCAATTACATAAAGGCTATTGTTAATAATAACAGAAGGGAAATAATTTCCCTTCTGTTGGACAATATATTTTAGTTTTGCGCATTTCATGACGAAAATAATTTTTGAAGGCAAATCCTATTTTGGTCAGCGTAGTAGTTCTCTCAGCGTCGGATGCTCACTTGGCCACGCAGTTCAGTTTATACTTGGCTACTAGATTAACTATTTCTGTGTATATTTTGTCCATTCGACGTCGCTGACAAAGAAATTAGTTTTTTTTTTCGTTTTACTATTTAAATCGATAGTTTGTAATATATTTATATACATATATACCAGAGATAAATGTGTATTTAAAAAAAATTAGTTGAGTCGCTAAGCTTAAAATTCGTCTAAGTGAAATATTACTGTTAATCACTCATTGAGTAAGGTATTTGATTATTACAATATTATCAATGTTCCAAATATCTTGTTTCATAAATACAATTAATTTTTTTTTTTACCAACTAATCCTTTATATTTAAAAATAATAATGCTTATGTATATTAATAAACGCCATATCATATATCGACAAGGAGTTAGTATTTATTAGATAACCTATTTAGGGCCATTAAATATAATTTCTGTAAACTCAATTTGAGAAACTTCATTTTCTGGTTTCATGAATATTATTAGGCCAATATTTGGCCATGTACCAGCAAATAAAACGTGCTGCCAACAATTTCGAGCGAATTCATAAATTTTTATTTGACCATATATCATGAATTGGATTCTTAATTTAGACATGCACCTGTTGATATAACGCTGACCATTTGTTTAAACAAACTAATGCTCTATATGAGCACAATTGGTCGAAATTATTATATACATTTCACGTGTATTTTTTTCCCCAGAGTTCTCCTTCAATCAAAGTAAATTTGACCGAACAAGAGCTTGATAACATTTGGGACGCAAAACAACTACAAATTTTGGTTAGTTTCTGCAATTATTTTACCGAAAAATTATAAAATTTTATATGAAATAATAATAAATTGTATAATATGTAGTTGGAGTCTTGTCCGGACTACGATCAAAGGAGAAAAATTAGAGCCAGGCTACGTCAAATAATGGCCGAACATAAAGGTAATTACATAACAGTTTTACTTAAAAAGTTCTAATTATTAATTAAAAATTTACCCTTAAGGAATATTTAAATTCTAATTAATTTAATAGCGGCAATGTATACATTACAACTAGTTAAATTTTAAATAAAAACGAATGATTTGTTTCATAGATAAGCTCATTTATAAATGTAACTCTTTACTACAGGTTTTCTTAGTTGTGGATGTTAACAAATTGTTTAAATGATTTAACAAAATCGTTTCAATACTTAAATTATAGTTTTTTTTATGAATATAATACGTGCTCTAATATTTCGGGTGTAAAAAATATTATTTTGTGTTTTTTTATTATCGTATTTTCAGATCTAGTTATATTTTTGTTGATCACATTTGTATGCCAACAAATGAAATTACATAGTCGATTTTGAATTAAATTATAGTAATTGTCTATACTTTGTATTATTATTGTTGATTGAACTTCAACATTTAAAGTATTTTTTACTTAATTTCTTTAGTAATATGATATATACTAAAGAAACGATAAACAATGATTCAACATTAAATAATAAAGTACTTTAATCGTTACAGTGTGTGCTGATGTTATTGCCTTAGCAGCTAATACAGATAATACTGGCAGCATTGAAAATAGTGGTGAGTTAAAACCTATCTGTTATTTAAATATCAAACCTAACTCGGTTATAGTAGAAGACTCTGGTACGGAGTCGGGGGAAGAGTTGAATCAAAAAATATTGGTGCAAGTTCAAGGGGCTTTAGCCAATCTAGAAAGTGCATTACCAGCACTTGACCCTGTTAGACGTTCGTCAGTTGTCGAATTACTGAACAAACTTCAAACTAGTCTGAAACTTCCCGTGGAAAAGAAACCAACTCCTCCTCCTAGAAAATGTTGGAACAAAAAGCAAGCCCGCCAAGACAGACATACAGTAGGTGTTTCGTCGGAGGAACTTCAAGATGCCCGGAGGTGGCTAGAGGAAAACGGATTCGTAGATACGAACACTGTTGCCGTTGAAAATAAACCTACAATTTCTCCTACTTCCACTTCAGGTACGCCAAATAAGAGCTACGAAGTTTCTACGCCTAAAACTTTTAGACCAGTTATATTTATACCTCCTCCTCCAAAACGAAAAATTAATTATACTGAAGACTTTATACCGGAACCGTCTAAACAGTCATTGCAAAACAATTCATTTGCATGTCCACCGCTTCATCACGCTATCGTTGAAAATATTACTGCTAATAATAGGCGATGTTCATTGACTGATAGACGAAGAAATTCATCCATTGATTCTTCGGAAAGTGGATCTGATGACGACCAATCAGTGTCTTCAGCTCAAAGATTATTGAAAATTGCAGCCAACGATCATGCCCGAAAATCATACACAAAACAACGTGTTAAGCTGAAACAAGAATCAGATCAATCAGACGATCAATCATCCGGTGACGAAATTAGTTTTTCGTCCAAGACTCCATCCATTGTTTCCAACGGAAACATACCTCCATTTACGCCCAAGACGACTAGCGATAAGAAGTATTTAGCTTTGTTACAACAAACCAAAGAAAACGATTCTGCATCCGCATACAATCCATTGCATGGAAAACTTCAGGGTAATTGGGGTAATCGCTTTGGGCGATTAAAAACATCTTTTGAAAAATGTGCCACTAGTATTATGCCGAGAAAAAACTATGCTAATTTCTGGAATAATGTATGTAAATGCCCGTCGGATGATAGTATAGCGTATAAAGCAAAAAAATCTACTTCGTTCAAACCCGTATGGACCGGACAGAAAAACTTTTCTCATGCTACCGCATCGGCTTTCAAACCAGTAGCACAAAAGTCTACGGAAGAACGTCTTTCAAGATCCATTCAACCTCCTAGACATTTACCACTTTACAATAGCGCCGTGACGACAGCACATAGACCTTATGTTTATACCGATGAAAATAAGAAGCCGTGGAATCCGACGTCACCGTGTAGTTTATCTGGCACGACTTATAGTACTCCAGTCAGTCCAATTAGTCGATCGACTGATTTTGATACTTCACCTCAACCTCTAGCTATGAGTCGAGTAATGGGTAGTCCTCAAACGGCAAGTATTGTCAAAAGCAAAACCAATCGTCCCAAACCACTAGAATCAATAAACAGACAAATGACGGCACCCTTACCATTAGAAATAGTAAACAAACAAACGATGACACCCAAACCACTGGAAATGCCTAACAAACAAACGGTAGCACCAAAACCTCCAACCAGAAGTCCAGCCAGGATGGTTTTACAGCAAAGGTCTCCGAATTCATCACCGGTTCGCATGCCGTCAGTTTTACAAAAGTCGGAATCGTGGCACCAAATTATTATGGGCCAGACCAAAGCCGCTCAACCACGTGCTCAACCCATAGCTAGAAAAATTGCACCATACGAGGGATTTTTACCAAAAGAACAAATAGCTCGCAAACAAAATATTGTTCGGCAACACTTACAAGTAGCCGATAATGTAAAAAGGTCCAGTGTTTCTCCTAAACTAGTGAAACTCAACGATGACATCGACAAAGTTGATGACACTTTTGAGAATCTTTTTAAAGAGTCAATAAAAGCCAAATAGTCCCTCTAGACCACCCTACTATTAGTTTTCGTGATATTTGCATTTAGTTATTCGTAAATTATAATATATACCTACGTGTCATGTAAAATAATACATTCATATTTGTACGCACTTTGTGTTTAAGGTTGCATATTACTATTGTTCAAACCAATTATCGTGTTTCTTTTTTAAACTATGTTTCTATATCTATTTAATTGTATAACTATCTACACAATAATATTTATTGAGTACTGAATTTTGAGTGTCCGAGGAGCGAGTGGATAATATTATAAAAAAAATTGAAGAATGCCTGTACTATTCACTGATTCATTCACCTATACTTTCTTCGTATCTCTATGCACCACGTTGAACACAAAAGTATGTTCTTGTGTGCTCATGTCGTGTGCTTTATGTGTGAACGTCGTTTGTTTTTTGTACTACAAAAATTTCACATCAGTTTTAGTGTTGATCTATGTGCTGCTCTAACGCGCCTGCCTGTCCAAAAAATAATTATACCTGTCCATCTTTTATGGTTTACTGAATCCGCTCGCTCGATTTTATTGTTTGCTTTTATATCGTACAAAGAGTCCATTTAATTAACCGCTTTATCCGTTGCACACACAAATAATCGTTTGAAACGGCTAACCGTAGTTTGATCATAACAGTAGCTACTTATGTTTTCTTTTGAATTCTTCATTTTACTAGTTATTATTAATTTTATTAGTATATTTATGAGTTGAATATTTTTACTGTAAAATAAAAATGTCTAACCTGTATTTTATAGCGCAACACGTTTACCTGTATATTGTGTGGAGTTATTATACTTGTTTTATTTTATACTTTTCGTAAATAATTATTTATTTTTTGTGTTACAGAAACTACTACTGAGTCAAAATCGTCGACTGTATCAAACAATACCGAAAACGGATCGTATGTGAAAACTGAAGGTAAATTTTCATAATCATCATTAAACATACTTGTAATAATATTTTTATAATATTTTGTTCAATAGTGCACACTAGGACAACATCTTCTAGTAATCGCCTCACTAAAGGTATATATATTTTTTAGTTTTTCGATTTTTATGCTTAAATACAAGGAATTATTGATGATAAATTATTAATTTACAGCTAATAGTGTAAGCGCCTCGCCGTTTGCAAAGTTTCAGCAACTCGAACGGCAGAACTCAGCTCCAAAGTAAGTAAAAATTTTAAAAATCTTTTATAAGAAATATTTTTAACTCTAACAAAAAGATATTATAAAGAAGAACATAAAAATAAATGGTAGATAATAATAAGTACATTCTTCAAAAAAACTATCTTTATTAATTTTTTAATGTTATTTATTAATTACTATTATTATTTTCAACACTAACACATAATATAAAAAGTATATTCAATAATTAAATTAGATATATTAAATCATTTTTAGTACATAAACATCATAATTTGACGTTAAAGATTTAATAACTGATGATGATAACGATTTAATATTATTAAACATTTATCATTAGCTTTACATCATTTTTTATATATTCTTAAAACATAATTGTAATGTGGTTTGTGGATATTAATAAAAGTAACTGGGATAGTAAAAAAATAATAAATAATCAAAAATTTAAAGATTATAACTAACTTGTATAAAAAAAAAATAATAATTATCTGTTGAAATACACTTCTCCTAAATAAAATTATTTTATTTAAAGTCAATAGTATGCACACGGAAAATAATGCTTATTCTTAATAATATATTTTTATCGTCGTATTTTTTGTATGTGCATTAAAAAGTATTTATTTTTCATTTTATAAATGTCTTATCTCTGTAATATCATCATATTTGATTCAATTTGGTGTTGTGTAATTTCCACATTAGCCAAGTTTGCAAAAAATTGAACACATTTTCACATAAAAATAACAAAAATCATTCATAGTATAGTATGTATGATAGTTATTACTCTTATTTTACACATAAACTTTACATCATTTTCAATTTTACAATTTAATTAAACATGTTGAATTATACTTTATAAAGTACAACTTCAGCATATTTGCTTTAATGTATGAAAATAACAATAATGATGGTAACATAAATACGGGGCATTTTGCTTATAGCTCACAAACGCGTCCTTGCTATAAATTCACCGATCCCGCTCTGGCGCGGAGCGCTTCATCAATCAAAGACCGCCTACTCAGCTGGGTTAAGGCTCAGACGAAGGAATATAAGGTACTTTTTTTTCATCTAACACAACTTTAATTAGCATGATATAAATAATAAATTATGGCTTTTTAACATATAATTATTGCATATGCATTATGTACTAACTGCTAATTATTTCTGATTTTTTTAAATAAAATTATTCATTAACTTAATCAACTTAATAATTTATCATATAAATTTTTATGTTTTTTTTTTTGTAATAAATTGTTAGATTCATATATACGTTTGGAACGATGTAGTTGTAGATTTTTTAGTATTAAGAATTTTTAGTTTTTATAGAAGAGCGTTCATTTGTGTTTTTTCACTTATTGATAAATTAAAAAAATAATTTAATAACGAAGGAATGTTTTCACATTTATAGAACATCCAAATAACTAATTTCTCAACAAGCTGGAGTGATGGCCTCGCATTCTGTGCCCTCATTCATCATTTTTACCCAGATGCTTTCGACTACGACAAACTAACACCAGAAAAAAGGAAGGAAAATTTCGAACTTGCTTTTAAAGTAGCAGAGTAAGTAACATGAGTTTTTAAAATTTTAACTTTATAGTGATTATTATTAACTTATTATTCAAGTATTTTATTTTCTTTGCAGAGACGAAGCTGGAATTGTTCCTTTATTGGATGTTGAAGACATGGTGATTATGCGAAAACCAGATTGGAAATGCGTGTTCACTTATGTTCAAACATTCTACCGACGATTCCATAACAGTCCACAAGCTGCTAAACCATCATTATTTTAACATGTTAATGAATACTTCGTTTTTACTTATAGTTGTTTATTTACTTATATTGTTTTTTCCTTTAAATACTGCAGCTAGACTTGTTATAAAAGTTTCCTTTATTGTTTTTTAATAAGAAAAATAGATGCAGTATTTAGTTGTAGTCGACTATTATCTAGTTATACTTATTATATTGGTTTGCTCTGGTCATCTGTTTAAAAATAATGAATGAGGATGATATTATTTACTCGTAATACTACCTAAAATATTTAGTAGATCACTATCGGTACAACTTTTTTATACATTAAAGCAATTTATAGGCAATAAATTAAATTATAAATTATTGCGGTCAAAAGTTACAAATTTTATGTTACCAATAACCGCTTCTTTGATTAAAAATGAACTTCATTAATATTATTTAAAAGAAATATTTTAAATTAAAATAATACCTGATAGTACTGAAAAAATATTACTCTACTATTATTTAGTTTTTAGGTATTATATTAATTAACAAGACTAATCTTGATAATATTTATCGAACAATATAATTTCCTATTAAACATTTTTAACTATTTTAATGTACATACAAAGTGAATGTATAACTATAAAATATTTTTCAAATTATAATATATTTATATACAAAGCATCTAATAAACATTTTACATACAAAAATATATATTTTTTACATTATATTTTCTATGTTTTAATATATTACCATATTTTTTTATGTGATAAGTATTGTTTCAAACTGTTATATGGTAAAAGGGTGAATTCCTTAATAAAAACACAAATATCGTTAATGCTATTATATTGTATATATTTCTTGTTTTTATTTTAATACATATTTTTCAACTGAAATTAATAACTTTATATTAAACTTATTAAAAAGTTTTATATTTTTCCTGTGAAAACAACAATATTGTACATGTGTTCATTAGACATGTAATTTACGAACAATGTTGATTTATAATAAATTAACATTAATAGTATTAATGTCGAAGTATAAATTTATGAAAATGACAATTCTTTAAAGACATGGATCTTAAGGTATGTGCAGCATACGTTGCAAATTATAATTTCATTATGAAAAATATGTAGATATTTAAATGAGCTAACAAAATTCTGTTATTATTTTAAAACAAATTATTATTTTTTGCATTTTATAAAAATATAAATTAATTTAATAAATAATCATATAATATTCTCTTTTAAAAATTACTATTTTCTATATTTATGTGATATGTTTGAATTATAACTAAAAACTGAAGTTGGATTTTTATAAACCATCTTTTTACCTCGACGGTTTTTATTATGGTGTGGTCTTCTGTTTAAGTTCTTATTAACATTCTGACGATAACCATTTAATTTAGGCTTAGTATTTTCTTCGATCTGTTTAAGGTCCTTTAGAAGTCTAGATCTCAATGTAGGATCAGCTTCTTGAGATTTTATTTTACAAATCTCAATGATTTTAGTTAATTGGTTTAAATAAAATTGAATATCTTTTGAGTCTTTGGCACCACCAAATAATATAACTAATTTAATTTCGTTACACAATAACTCCGCTAAGTTAAATGTCTTGTCGGTGTCTTGCGCAAAAATAGAAAAATGTTGCTGAAAAATTGTATTAATATTTTAATATTGATATTATTCAAAAGTGAATTGCATGATTTAAATTTAATCTATTAAATTTATGAGTGATAACATAAAACGAGCTAAATGCGTTAGGAGTGATGAAGGAATGAATAAAGGGAAAAATAAAGAGGGAATATAATATATTTTTTAAAACAAATCACAAAAAATTTTGATTAAAAAGAAAAGTTAATGAAGCAAATGAAATTTTTTTTTTAATTAGTTATTATAAATAAAAGCTATTTCAGAATTTTACATTTTTTTTTAGAATTTTAAAATATGAATAATTAATCAAAATCATTTTTTAACATATAGTATGTTATTCACTTTAAGTCTTTAAATATTCAACACAACATAATATACTAAACCACAAATTTTAATTCATGCTTAATATTTTTTGGTTAAAATGAAAAATGAAGAGGTAAAAAAATGCCATACCGTTATGAATTCTTTAGAAGCATTTCCTTCGTTTTGTATTAACATTATAAATTGTTCTACGCTAGTTCGTAGAAAACTTGGACCTTTCCATATAATTGTGTAGGAACAAATTTGAGCTAAGATTTTCCATTTATCATCTTCATTACGACATTCTGTCAGTATATTAAATAAGTCCACCACCGGATCTCTGCCGTTATTATGTTTCTCGATGGCCGACTTCAAACACTCTTTTAAATTAAACTCGTCAATTTCATTTTGTACTATTTCACTTAGTTCATTTTGAATTGTATCACTTTCGGTAAAAATATTCTCCGGAATTGTTCGTTTTTTATTCTATAAAAAAAGTTATTAACTATAACTATTCAAGAAATATTTATTTAATAGGATCTAACAATTTTTTTATAAACATCAAGACTCTTCTTAATTGCTCTAATAACAGTTGGATCATTTTTGGATATATCTAATGCTTTCAATAAAATATCCTTTACAGAATTATTACCACGAACTTCAACGGGTAATACCATTAGAGACCGTGCGCATCGAATTAACAAGTGTGGATCTTCAGGTTTAATATCTAGAATAGCTCTGGAAATATCAAGAACTTATTCAAATACATTTAAATATTATTAAATATTAGTAAATATTTTTAACATCTAATGCCATAAAATTAACTAGCTTACTTAATCAATTCGGCGATATTTTGAAAATCCTTTTTTATCTTACTCATTAATTCATCAGTAATATTATCATCGTTATTATTAAGATGTTGATGAAATAATGTTTTGGTTATCATCAAGTGCATTCGATGAAAATAGAAGTATGGATTTTGTTCACGATTCAACAAAATAATGGCGTATTGTATAGCATTAAATTCTGCTTCTGTAGGACATGATTTGTTAGTTTTTAAAAATTGTCTTTGTGCACTTAATGTCAATGAATACACATAATGCCAGTAAGCAGTGTCGGAATCTAATTCACATGCAATTTTTGCACTTTCCGTAGCTTTTTCTAAAGCGTCGCCACCATATTCTATACAGATAGCAGCTTGAATACAATAGACAGCTGCTCGTGCTTTCGTACTTAAATTATTGAATGGTGTAATCATGTGGTGTAACTAAAAGAACATAATAGACATTAAGAGTTAATTATAATTATTTCTTTACTTTAGGTAATAGAATTAATTATAAGTTTATAAATTAATAGAAGTCATTTAAAGATGTAAATCTGATATGCGATTTTTTGTTTTCAATTTAATGTCGGATGTTCATTAAAAATAAATAGCTGATGTAAGGCTAATAACATAAGCTATCTGTCGAAGCCTTAATAATAATGTATAAATAAAAAAATTAATCCGAATACTACGTTTTTATGGAGATTTCAGAATTCTAAATCAATTACCCTATTTGAATGTTAAAATTCAGGTATTTTATAGTTTAACAAATTATCACTTTCATAATTCTGATCTTCTAGATTAAATCATTAACAAAACACATAAAAAATACAATATATTATCATTTAAGGGTTTTCTAATTTCAATGAATATTAAGTGGATTTTTTTTTTAGAGTTCGTTATTTGTTCTGTTATCATGTTTGTTTTCGATACCAGTGAGTTCACCACTTAAACTACATAAAAATAATTCTTTTTAAAATAATAGTTTTACTTTGATAGTTAGTATTTGAAGATTACAGAATATTTTATTAAATTAATATCATAATTTAATGACAACAAGTGAAATATTATTTAAACTTACTCTTTGACATTCTGTGATTTGACGCGAATTGTAAAACATAAAAGCTAAAGTTGACATTACAATATGTTTCAGTCCATCTCTAATATTCAAATAAAATTGATCACCACAGTGATCTATATTATCTAACCATTTCCAAATTTCCATAATTTTTTTAAAAGATCTATCAGGCTCATTCACTTTGAATAAAACACAACTGACTATAAGATTACTTACATACCTAAAAATAAATGTTGATACACATATTTAAACTGTCTAAGTTCAAAATAACATGATTAATATTACAAAAAAATGATCTCACTTTTCAATCGAAAAATCAGCTGTAGAAATATCCATACCAATAAAACCATATTTATTTTCGATTCGGTATATAATATCATGATTCCATTTATTTGGTTCCAAATGCCACGTAAATGGGCATTCTAAAGATTTTAACCTATGTTTAATATTTTGCTTGTAATTTGAATTTATTGAAAGTAGATTTGATTCTATATTTTCCATAACATGTACTTCGTTAGCCATTGTAGTAGGCTCATCTTCTTGAATAAGATCCTCTTCTTCACTTTCATTAAGAAACGAGTTGATGAAATCATGATAAGGGTCCACAACAGACAAAATATTAAAACTGTTGTCCTGTAATGTCATACTACCACGTAAGTTTACTTCGGATGGATTTTCTTCTTTTAAATTTAATAAAATATCTTTAACTATTTGTTTTACATCATTTAATTCTGCTGATTTTTTAGAAACCTTATATTTAGAAGATTTCTTTTTAGAACATTTTAAAAAAAACGACCAAAACATATTGAATTTTAAAATATAATTTCTGTTAAAAATTAAATTAAATTTAAAATTAATAAAATATTTTCTTTTTTAATTTTTTAGTCCTAAAATAATAATTATTACAATAATAATAGTAGTAGAATGAAGAAGTCGTTAACGTTAAGTGGTAAATGAAGAAGTGATGAATACTATCAGTGTGGTTGGTATTATACATTTTACAAATTATGTCGAATAGTTTTTATCTATCAGTCATTGAATCAAATGACTTATTGTTATGTATATATTTACATACCGACTATAAGTACATATTTCGTCTATTATTTAAAAGTAAAGTAGATAGTTAATATATTCAATTAGTTTGGTTCTTAAAAAACGTGAAATTTATTAATTGTAAAAGATAATATATATTTTTAATTCATATACACAGTGTGATTCCTTAACTACTTCTTATTCAATATCTTCGAAAATATTAGAGCTAATCATTATTTTATTTTTTTAACATAAATATTTTTTTTTAGTTTTCTTTACCCGTAAAGTTAATTTTCTGCTACCATTCTTTATATCCTACAATTTTTTTTTATGTCATCAGATTTATTAAATTGAAAAAAAAAATGTTATATTATTCGATTTAAATGAGTTAAAGCTATTTAAAGTTTAGAGGTGATCAGAAAAAAACCTACATATTTTTAAAGTACTGCATTTTTATTGGGTGCTATATATATATATATTTTTTAACGTTTTATAAGCCCATCAAGGACTGTAGGGGTCTCACCCAAAAGAGAAGATTTCTTAACCATTAGTACCATTGAGTGCTATTGATTAAGTAAATAAAATACTACCGGTTTAAATATGATAGGATATACAATTTACGTAACGTTGGCATATTTTAAAAAAAGTATGTTTTTTTCTGATTACCTATAACTTAAAATTGATGTAACTCGTTAAAAATAAAATAAAACAATTTTAACTAATTTTTTTTTTAATTGAATAAATCTGATTATATAAGATTAATTAGTGTTACCACTTGAATATCGAAATCTATACAAGTTTAGATTATAAGGGGTTGTAGCAGTAGATTAATTCATGTGAAGAAGCTCAACAAAAAATCAAATATGATTAATAAATAAAATAATGATTTGCTCTACTATTTACAAAAATATTTTCTGAAACATCGTTAAGTAATAACTCTATATAANGAAAACAAAATTGAATCCATGGAACGCCGCCAAATATCAAATGATATTATCATTGATGGAATACCTGAAAATAAAACAGAAGATTGCACTCAATTAGTCCACCAAATATGTAAAGAATTAAATTCAAATATAAACGTGTCAATGATAAATGATTGTCACAGAATCGGTTTTAACCGTAACAACGCACGTCCCAGAAGAATTATAGTTAAATTCATAAATCACCAAGATAAAATAAATACACTTAAAGCTCGCCAAATAAAAAGAAACTTTTCTACTAAGGACATTAACTTACAGCCTGATATGCCTATCTACATAAGAGAAAATTTAACTACAAAAGGTAGCAAGCTATTCAAAGAAGCAAGAGACATCAAAAAATCACTCAACTTTCAATTCGTCTGGACGAAAAATGGTCTTGTTTTCCTACGAAAAAACGAAACGGATAAAATCATACGTGTTGACAATGAGGAAGTAATTTTGAAATTAAAATCACAGTATGATCATTTAAACTCAACAAACCTAAATTCGTAAATATAAAATTTATATACTCATTACTTTTATACCTATATTTAGTTTATATAATTTATCATACACACATATTACCTCGTCTTTATACAAATTTAATACTACATTTCAACTTTATACATAATATTATCTTATACAATTATTATTTCTATGTTAAAACTCTCACACACATTCCTTATCTTTATTACTTCTTAATTGCCTTCATAGCGATAGCTGGGGGCAGCGTATTCATAGCAAAGCCATACGAAACTCATAAAATTACTAAATCGTTTATTTCTACAAAACATTATACAGATTTCAGCTCTCATATATACTACATATATATACCCAACTCATTTATTAACACCTTAACCTGTATATACCTCAACAATATCTATTATGAATAAAAACACTAATAAGACATTTTTATTTGAAGTTAATGAGGCAATAAATACTATGAATTGTTCTTTTGATAAACTAAACAGCATTATAAATCTACAAAACTCAATAAATATTTTCTCTATGAATATCTGTAGCATTAAAAAACATTTTGATGAACTATGTATTCATCTAGATAACATGAACACCAAATTTGATGTTATTATTTTAACAGAGGCTTGGTTAGGGCTTGGTAATATATCAATCACCAATTTCTCAATCTCAGGTTACTCAACTCATACAACTTTAAATAATAAAAATCAAAATGACGGTATTGTAGTATACTTAAAAGACACCCTATCGGATGTCTCGATAATAGAATTTAACACATCAGCACTAACAACTTTAGAAATTTCTTTCAAATTATCAAAAACGGCCTTTGTAATTTATCCTACTTATAGATCTCCTAATGGTATTATTGATATAGCACTAGAAGAATTAAACGATATAATACTGAGTAGTTCTAATCTAAAAAAAGCTAAATATAAAATCATATTAGGTGATTTTAACATCGACATACTAAAACCTACAAAAACAAATGAAGATTATCTCATGTTAATGGCCCAGTTCGGATTTATACCTGTAATTAAAAACATAACCAGACCTGTGTCTAATACTTGTATTGATCATATTTTTGTTAAAGCAAAGTCTTTATATCACATAAAGCCAATAGTTATTAATTCCAATATAACAGATCATTACCCAAACATAATTAGTATAGGAAATTTACTTGACAACCGAAATAATAAACCAAATCTCTTAAAAATACTTATAGCAGATGATGCTAAATTAACTGACCTAATTCAAAATTTTGAGTGGTCTGAAATGTATAATATTATCGATTCTAACAGAGCAGCACATTATTTTACGGAAAAAATAACTAGTCTTAAAAAACAAGCTTCTACCGAAATATCTATCAATTCTAAAACTAAAAAAATTAAACCATGGGCCACTACCGCATTAATTAATTCCATAAGGCATAGAGATCACCTTCACCTTCAAGTTAGGAAATATCCTTTAAATCTAAAACTAAAAGACTATTACCTTAAATTCAGAAACAAGTTAACGTATTTAATAAAAGAAACTAAAATTAAATACTACAAAAAAGAAATACATAAATCCGGGAACAATACCAAACATAAATGGCAATTAATCAATGATATCATATCCAGAAACATTAAATCAAATAATTTTAATGAATTACTAAATAATATAAAAGCTAATACTGAACCTAATGACAGAAAACCAGCCTCAATCTTGGCCGATAATTTTAATGATTATTTTATAAATGTGGCAACGGATCTAGTAACACAACTGAATAACGATACTAATGTAAATAATTTGTCCAACATCCACCGATCTAACAATACAATTATGTCAAATAATTCCCCCTTAAATAAATTTGAGCTGATAACACATGAAGATATATTACAAGCAACTTCTAAATTAAAAAATGGTGCATCACCTGGTATCGATAACATATCCTCTAATCTTCTAAAAAAATATATTACTTTTCTTGTTAAACCTCTCACTCATCTTTTTAACCTATGTATCACCCAAAATAAAATTCCTGATGTTTTTAAAGTAGCAATTATTACACCCATTTACAAGAAAGGTCTAACTTCTATTATTAGTAATTTTAGGCCAATATCTGTAATATCAAATGTAGCAAAAATATTTGAAAAAATTATAAAAGCAAAATTAGTACATTACTTAGAATCGAATAACCTACTATTTGAACACCAATATGGTTTTAGACCCGATAAAAGCACTGATCAAGCCATAGCAATTGTAACCAAAACGATCTATAGTACACTGGAAGAAGGAAAAAAATGCGCAACTATTTATCTTGACCTGGCGAAAGCCTTCGATACTGTGGACCATGTAAAGCTTCTAAAAAAAATGCACGACATAGGTATTACTGGTTCGGCTCACTCACTATTCGAATCTTATTTGGAAAAAAGAAAACAGAGGGTTAAAATAAATGATAGCATCTCTTGTGAGCAAACTATTATATGTGGTGTTCCTCAGGGTACTACACTTTCTCCAGTACTCTTCAATATTCAGCTAAATGATATAAAACTTTTAAACTTAAATAGCAAAATTATTTGTTACGCTGACGATACGGTATTAATTTGTAATGGTTTAACCTGGGAAGAAGTTTTCGCTAATATTGAGGCAGATTTACTGTCAATTAAAATCTGGCTAAAGAAAAACAATCTATTTCTAAATTTAGATAAATCAGCCATACTACTTCACTCCCTATCTGAAAGTACCCTACCTACCTTAAATGAACTAAAAATCCATGAATGTAAAACTTTATTACTAAATCACTGCCAGTGTAAATCTGTTTCCATTGTCAAAAATTACAAATACTTAGGTATCGAAATGTGTCATGATATGAAATGGAAAAATCAAATTATTAATACTTCCAATAAGTTAAGAAAGATGATTTTCATCATGAAATCACTACGTGAAATACTAGATTTTAAAGACATTAAACTTATATACTTAACTCTATTTGAACCTTTAATCACATATGGCATAATTGGTTGGGGTAGCGCCTATGATAATGTGCTATCACGACTTCAAAAATGCCAAAATACTATTATTAGAGTTGCTTGTAACAAAAAATGGAGATATCCTACAAAACAATTATATGAAGAATTTTATGTACTTAATATAAATAAACTATATATAAAAACCTGTACCATTTTCCTAAAAAAACATAACCTGTTATCCCCAGTAAATCACAAAATCAACACTAGATATGCTTCCAATAACTATTCGCTAAAATATANTTAAAGTACTGCATTTTTATTGGGTGCTATATATATATATATTTTTTAACGTTTTATAAGCCCATCAAGGACTGTAGGGGTCTCACCCAAAAGAGAAGATTTCTTAACCATTAGTACCATTGAGTGCTATTGATTAAGTAAATAAAATACTACCGGTTTAAATATGATAGGATATACAATTTACGTAACGTTGGCATATTTTAAAAAAAGTATGTTTTTTTCTGATTACCTATAACTTAAAATTGATGTAACTCGTTAAAAATAAAATAAAACAATTTTAACTAATTTTTTTTTTAATTGAATAAATCTGATTATATAAGATTAATTAGTGTTACCACTTGAATATCGAAATCTATACAAGTTTAGATTATAAGGGGTTGTAGCAGTAGATTAATTCATGTGAAGAAGCTCAACAAAAAATCAAATATGATTAATAAATAAAATAATGATTTGCTCTACTATTTACAAAAATATTTTCTGAAACATCGTTAAGTAATAACTCTATATTTTAGCTTTGAAGCGAAGCTGAGAAGGTATTAATTGTACAATGATGTGTTTTTTTTTAATTTTTTAATATTTTTTTTTGTATCTGAGAATGCTCAATCTCAGCTCTCGCTGGACCGATTTTGATGAACAATACGTCAAAAGATCACAAATCGTAACTAATCGACGATATTACTCTCAAAAATTAAAAAAAATTCCCTCATTCCCCGTAAACGGGGGAAATCCCCCAAAAAATTACAAATTTAAAAATCGCTAATTTTCGACATTTTTTCAATTTATTTTACTTAAAACTGCCATGACTTTTTTAAAAATGACTGAATCAATATAATTTATTTTTTTTTTATAGAAACCTTAGGTATTTACCTATCTTTTGATATATTTTTGTGAACATTTGACCCTTTACCAGCCCACAAGAAGGGTTTCAAAATGGCAACTTTTTCAACTTAACTTTTGAAAATGTTCCGGAAATACTGACACTTTTATATATAACTTAAATTAAAGCTTATGTAATAAGCTTATTAAAACTACGTAAAGAAAAATAACATTGAAATTCGAACTAGCTTAAATTGCCATTTTTTTTAGTGGCCGTAAGCCGGTAACACTTGTGTTTTGCACGCTTGAGGTACAAGGTTCCAACATGTGTATGGCAAGGAATTTTTTTCTTAATTCTTTTTAAGTTAGAATAAATTTTTAACTCATTTGATTTTTATCAAATTTCAAGAAGAAATTTCTTATTTATATTAAAATTATTTTACTATATTTTAGGTTTTAGTTTCAATGCAAAGCTGAGAGGGTATTTTTTTATGACTATCATTTATTTTCTCTGCTCTAACTTGACCTATCTTTTTCAACGAAAAATGATTACAACTCGTATCTAGTTGAATAACCCTCAAAAATTGTAACAAAATTATAATTTATCAATTAAACAGTTACTTATCCCATGTTCTCCATACAGACAATTAAAATCATTCATTTATAATGTTTTCAAATTAATTATTGACGAATCAAATTCGATATGATAAGTTTCAATTGCAAAATTAAATCATTTTACTTTGTAATTTAATAATTTTTTTACTCTATTTGTGTGTGATACTACTAGACTATAATATTTCAAATATTTTGGTAACATGTTGCTGTATAAGTCATTTCTAAAAAAAATGACTGTTAGTTTCTCCTGAATTAACATTTAGATTTTTTAGATTAATTTATTAAATTATAAATATTAAATATAAAACTTCCTGACTGCATATTAATCTTAATGATACAGTTTTTTTAATTCTCATAAAATTTTTTATTTAATGATGTCAATTTCAAACTTGTAAATTGAGCTAAAAGTTATGGTAATAAATAAATTTTTTTTTTACTATAAACTTTCACAAAAATCAACTTTAAAGGATTAAAAAAATAGGATACATATGTCATTACGGTTGTATTTC